GAAAACAACATCTGTAAAGAAATTATCAAAGATGTACCCAACAAAAACCAAGAGCCAGATAATTCCACAAGGGAATTCTACAAAGTTTCAAAAACTGTATTCCTAGTGCTACTTCAACTATCCCAGAAAAAGAAAAGAAGGAAACTTTCTAATTAATTTTATGAATCAATAATAGGTGCCTCCTACAAAACATCTCCTCCGGTGAAACCTCCCCGCAGAGTGGCTCTCGGCCGTGCGGTGCCCACACCTCAGTAGAACAGTATTGTTAGGTTTATCTTGGCTGATGTTTATGTAGGGAACATGTACACATTCCCAAACCTCAATACAACATTTTTAACAAAAAAAATGTGGGGAAAATCTAAGGCCAAGATTCCAAATTCAGCAGGTCAACTATCAGAATGGTATGTGGATGTTTTTGAGAAGTGCAGGAAGTCTCAGTAAAGGAGCTGTCTGTCCACTGCTTGTTAACAGCTATTTTACATGTGGTCATACAAAACAATATGCTCGGTGTTTTATGTCCTAACATGATAGTTTTTACTTTTCAATGTTTAACTGTTGTTCTCTTCATATTTTACGAAATTGGTTGGGAATTTAAAGTATAACCAATTGTAACACATTGTAATTAATTTTTCCCATTTAAAATAATGAGAAATGGGACTCCCATTGCAACATTTGACTTCCAGGAATGGATTAAAGCTAAGCAAGACATAACTATAGAATATTAATATCTAAACCTTATGATGCTTGAATATAATATAAGAAAGCTATAGAACACGTATCACTTTAGATCATCAATCCAAAGGAATCTTACATAAAATATTAACAAATGGAATCCAACATCATATTAAAAAATAAATACAATAACCAAATAGGGTTTATTCTAAGATTGCAAAGACAGGTCAATATCAGAAAATTCATTACTATAAACCTCCATAATTAAGGAGGAAAAACATATGTTTTCTACAGGCTGGAAAGGCCTTCAACAAAATTCTACATCTATTCCAGGTAAAAATACCTACTGAAATAGGAATTAATGGATACTATAATATTATTTTATATACACACATACACACACCTCTCAACCCCAAAATTATAATCTTATTTAGTGTAGGCAGGAACAAGGCAAGGGCCCCCACTAACCCCACTGTTACCTGACAGCGTGTTAGCCATTGCGATTAGGCGAAAAAAAATGACAATGAGAGGCCTAAGACTTCCAAAGGGAAAGTTAGAACTATACTTGTAAACATCTCATAACACACTCGGAAAATAACTGAAGAGAAGCAATGCTAAAACTGATGAACAATTGGAGGAATCAGAACAGGATACAGAATATAAACTTAATATAAAAATCAATAGCTTAGATTTCTGCTTCTAGCAAAAGTAGTAACAGGGACCCAATTAACACCTCTACCAGGAACAATAAAAAACACCAGACATTAACAGAATGAAAAGACAGGACACAACCTAGAAAATATGTGTAAGTCACCTAACTGAAAAAAGAGTTACATCCAAAATATCCAAAGAAATTGAAACACTCAAGAATTAGGAAAAAAAAAATTTATGTGGGCAAAAGAGTGTGTTATCAGACTGCAATGGAATTAAAATAGATATCAGTGACAGAAAGGTAACTGGAAAAAAAAACCCCAAATATGCAGAGATCAAACAGTACACTTCTAAATAACACACAGGTCAAAGAACAAATCTCAAGATAACTTTTTAAGGACTTTAAACGAATGAAAATGAGAACACAACTTTTCAAAGGCAGAGCAAAAGCAGTGCTCAGAGGGAAATTCATAGCACTGACTGCATAGATTGGAAAAGAGGAAAGATCTAAAATCAATGATCTGAGCTTTCACCATAGGCAAACAGAAAAAGAGCAAACTAAATCCAAAGTGAGCAAAAGAAAAGAAATAACAAGAATTAGAGCAGAAATCAATGAAACTGAAAACAGGCAATCAATAGACATCAGTGAAACCAAAAGCTGCTTTTTGAAAAGACCAGCAAAACTGATAAACCTCTACTTAAGCCAAGACAAAAAGGGAAGATGAAAAATTACTAAGCTCTGAAGTGACAGAGGACATCACCACTGATTGCATGGACATTAAGAAGGATAATAAGGGAATCCTATGAACAACTCCACGCCTATGTGAAATGGATCGGTTCCTCAGGACACAATCTGCCAAACTCACCCAAGAAGAAATCGATGACCTAAATAGGTTTATATCTGTTAAAGAGATTGAATCAATAATTCATAACCTTCCAAAACAGAAAGCACCAGACCCAGAAGGATTCATTGGTACATTCTACCAGACATTCAAGGAAGAAATTATATCAGTTCTCCTCAATCTCTTCCAGAGGACAGAAACAAACGGACCCTAGCTGACTCATTCTACGAGGCCAGCATTGACCTTACACCAAAACCAGACAAAACATTACAAGAAAGGAAAATTATAGACCAGTATCTCTTATGAACACAGAGGCAAAAATTCTCAACATAATATTGACAAATTGAATCCAAAAAAGTATGAAAATGATTATATGCCACAAACAAGTAGGATTTATCCCAGGTATGCTAGGCCAGCCCAACATTCGAGAATCAATTAACATAATTCATCATATCAAGATACTAAAAAGGAAAAATGACATCATATAATACACAAAGAGAAAGCATATGACAGACTGTAATACCCATTACTGGTAAAAATTCTCAGTAAACTAGGACTAGAGGGGAACTTTCTCAACTTAACAAGGACTTCTACAGAAAAACCTACAGCTTGATATCATACTCAAACTCGATGCTGAGAAACCCTAAGCTTTCCCACTGAGATCAGGGGCAACGCAAGGATGCCCCCTCACACTCCTTTTCAGGATTGCACAGGAAGTGCTTACCTACACAATTAGTCAAGAAAAGGAACTAAAAGGTATACAGAGCGGGAAGAAAGACATAAAACTCTCACTGTCCACATATGATGTGATCATCTATGTAGAAAATCTGAATGAATCAACAAAAAACCCTCCTGGAACTAATAAACAATTTTAGCAAGGTTGCAGGATACCTGATTAACACATAAAAATCAGTCACTTTGGTATATATCAACAATGGGAAAAGTGAATTTGAAATTAAAAACAGTTTTTTGTTTATATTTATATTAGTGCCCCCATAAATGAAATACTTAGGAATACATCTAACAAAATATGTGTAAGATCTGTATGAGGAAAACTACAAACCTCTGAGTGAAATCAAAGAACTAAATTAATGGAGAGATATTCTGTGTGCATGGACAGGAAGCCTCAAGACTGTCTAGATATCACTTCCCAACTTGATTTATAGATCTGATACAATCCCAGTCAAAATCCCAGCAAGCTAATTTATGGATATTGGAATAAAATGAATCTGAAGTTTATGTAGAGGCGCAGAACAGCCAATAGTTCAAAACAAGAACAAGGATGAAGTTAGAGGAACGACACTACCCAACCTCAAGACCTACAATGAAGTTACAGTGATCAAGACAGTGCAGGGCTGGGTGAAGAACAGACACATGGGTCAAGAGAACAGAACAGACAGCCCAGGAAGAGACCCCCATAAACAGCCAGCTACTCTTTAACAAAGGGGCAAGGGCAGTACAATGGTACAAAAATATCTCTTCAACAAGCGGTTCTGGAACAACTGGACACCCACATGCCAAAAAATGAATCCAGACACAGACTTGACACCCCCTCAAAAAAATTAAGTCAGAATGGCTCACAGACCCAAATGCAAAACTGCAAAACTATGAAACTCCTAGGAGATGGCATAACAGAAAACCTAGACGACCTTGGGTATAATCCTTCTTAGATATACCACCAAAGACATGACCCATGAAAGCAATAATGGATCATCTGGACTTCATGAAAATTGACAAGTTCAGCTCTGTGAGGACAATGTCAAGGGAACAAGACAAACCACAGACTGGAAGGAAATCCTGTAAAAACACATCTGATGAAACACATCTAAAATATACAAATAATTCTTGAAACTCAAAATAAGAAAACCTGATTTTTACAATGGGCCAAAACAGGGAACCTGCCCAGGAAGATGGATTCACTACGACCCACGGGAGATTGAACAACAGCGCCTTCTCCCAAGGAGGCAGAGGAGAAGAGGCCATGCAGCCATGCCGGCCCCCTTCCATTGCCACGCCTGGCCTTGTGCCCGTGTCCACATGCCCTAGGAGAGAGCTCCTGCACAGAGGGAAGGGGCGGTTACTTATCACACCGGACAGTGCAAACCCAGGCAGGCGTGTGCAGCCCCCGTCTGCCTAGACCCAAATCCTCGCCCGGCATCCCACACCAGCTCTGCTCCTGTGGCCTCTCCATCTCCTTGGAATGCTGTCTCTGTTCTTGGGGCTCACAAAGCGCCCAGGCACACTCTGCACAGTGTAAGGGGCTGTATTTTTCACCTGCAGATCTCTCCCTACAAGACAGTGCCTTAAAGACAGGAGTGGCATCTTGCTCGCGGTGTGCCTCCAGTGCCCCGCACAGTCAGGCATGGGGTGGCTGCTCGGTCAGGACCTCATGAGCGTGTGAGTGTGTGAAGGAAGCTCAAAGGCCTGGGGTGATCCTCAGAGCACGGACAATAGGACATGTGAGTAGGGGGGAAACCACCACCCTGAGAACCTCCTGCTTCTCGTCGGGCAGTTCCCGGCCCCAGTCAAGTCTGTGCCCACAGAGCAGCCCTGGTCCCACTTCCTCCCGGTGCATCCCAGCACTTTAACACTATGCCTGGCACTCAGCTCTAGGAAGGGGAGGACAACAGAGCTTAGGCGACATGTCATGGTAATCGTCCTCCTCTGGGACCCCAGAAAGCAAAGGGGTATCAAAGCGCAGACATGGACAGCAAAGGACTTTGTCTCCAGGTTGGGGAACAAGTTGCAGGGGCATGCTCTGCCCCCAAGCAGCTGACACGGAGGAGAGAAGGGGAGAGAGCAAAGCATGCCCTACTGGTACAGGGAGATACTCACTGGGAACAACCGTGGTCTCCTCAGGAGGGCCGGTCAGCGTCACTGGGATGTGCACAGTGGTGCTCAGCTCTGAGGGCTGGCTGCCCATCCGAGTGACATTCCGCTGATTATCTGCATCCTCCGGCTGTTCTTCCACCTTCTGCAGACAGGTGCTGGGCAGGGTGTGCACAGGGCCCACACCCATCATCCCACTGGCCTCCAGGCCACAGTGCGGCTCCCTGCAAACAGGGACACATAATAGAGGCCATTGCAGCTCCAGATCCTTACTCGAGCCGCAAATCCAGCTCCTTAAACCCCTACCCAGATTAAATAAATCCCTGACTCACCTGCTACTCTGGCATTTCGTATGGTTTTGATCACCCTATATACTTCTGTGGTTTTAGGTCTGAAAAGTAGGGGTGAAGCTGACTCACCTGTCTGTCCCTGGCACAAAGCCAGGCATGGTGAGCATCACAGCATGTGTGTGGAACGCAGCTGTTTGCAGAATGAAGCCTGCAGAATGTCTCCCTAAGCAGCCCCACCAGGCCTGTGGCCCAGCAGAGCTGTGCACACAAAAGACAGTGCCCAGGCTGGGCTGAGCCTGAGCGGCAGCCTTCAGCTACTTGAGTTCTGGGTGGTTCGGAGACTGCTGGTCTCAGCCCGGAGATGCCTGGCACTCCAGGGCTGTCACGGAGCCATTTGGATCCGGTCCCAGGCAGGGAGCAGGCCAAGCTGGCCTGGGAGGGCCTTCCTGTCCTGACCACACAGCCGGCCCCTCCCATCCTGCCATTTACCCGGGCGGGCTCCTCAGGCTCTCCCGACGTCTCTGCTCTTCCCCAGCCAAAGCCTCCCAAATCAGGCCTGTCTCCCCAAACCCTCACTTCCCCCTGGGGGCCCTAGGACAGCGGCTGACACCAACCGAGCACACACTCCCCTCCATGCAGCTAAGGCAGGGTCGTCACCACCCCAGAGAAGGGTGGAGGCAGAGAGGGGGGCTGCATGGCCGCGACACCTGGCTGGTTTTGCACCCTAACCCTGGGGGCCCTCCGCACCAGCGCCCACACGCCCGGCCTGGCCCTTTGCGATGCGCAGGGCCCAGCGTGCTCACTTGGGCTGGTGGTTCCGCAGCTCCTTGTCCCTGTCCTCCGTGTCACCTTCCTTCTCTGCATCCTCGAGGGCGGGCAGCGTCTTGTGGCGCGCCCGGTGCCGCCGCGCAGGCTCCTCCGCGCTCTCCGTCGTCCGGGGGCCTCCGCGGTGCCGGGTGCGCCGTTCACTCTTGGCCCCGGGCGCGGCAGCCTCCTTGCCGGGGTCGGGCGCGTGCCGGTGTGCGCGGTGGCGCCGGGGCTCGCGCTCGGCCACCTCCTCCGGGGAGCCGCGCCGGTGGTGCCGCCGGCCGCCGTTGGGCCCCGCGCCGTGGCCACGCTCACTCCGGGCCTCCTTGCTGCAGCTGCGGCGCGTCCGCACCCGCTCCTCCCGCGCACCTGACTCCCCACCCTCCTCCTTAGGGGCGTCCGCTGGGTCCTGCTGGGCCGCCGTGGCCGCGGCCTTGTCCTTGTCGCGGTGCCGGTGGTGCCTGCGCGGCTGGTCCGCAGCTTCGGCAGCCTCCGTGCCCTCGGGCCGCGCCTTGGCCCCCGCGGGCCCCTGCGGACCTTCCCGGCCCGGCTCCACAACGAGCGGCCGGTCCAAGTGCGTCTTCATGTCGGGCCGCAGGTGGCGCGTGGTGGCGTAGCGCAGCCGCTCCTCAGGGTCCATCTCGCTGTACAGCGCCTCGCAGCTGGCCCGCAGGTTCTGCAGCCGCAGCTGGCTGGCCCTCTGCTCCCACACCGAGCGCGCCTTGGCCGAGTTCTGCTGCCTGCTGTGGGGACATGGTAGTGAGCGCCCACCCCACGCACCCCCGTGCCTTGAGGGAAGCCACGGATGGACACAGCGATGGAGGGATGGCGGAGGATGCACAGGGAGGAGGGGCGGCAGGTGCCCTCAAGACCCCTGGCAGAGTGTGCAGGACAGGGTGGGGGATGCCTAGGGCAAGGGAGTCAGCACTGCCTGCCCCACCCGGGTGGCAGCCCTGCAGGCTCCAGGCGCAGCAGCGGGGGATGTGTGCTTAAGGCCACCCTTGAGCAGGTGGACAGTGGCCCCAAGCTAAGGGGAATGACAGGCACCAGCATGAAGTGGCAGCTGGCTTCCAGGGCAGGTGGGCTGTGGGCCAGGAAGCCCAAAAGGCAGGGGAGGGCTGACGAAGACGCAGGAGACAGGGATGGGGAGCCCCCTGCAGCAGCGTGGGGAGCTGGCCCTGCTGCCTCAAAGGAGGGGCTTTTCCATCCACCTCCAGGAGACCCCACTGGCCAGAAAGAGACAAGGGTATTCCTGAGGGAAAAGAAAGGAGGTGGGGTCTCAGAGGCAGGGTGGAAGGTGGCCCAGGGAGCTAGGGGTGGGGCAGCCGGCCTTCCCAGGAGGAAACAGGGTGCAGTGCCTGCTGTCTGAGGTGATCAGCCCCATCCTGAGTGACCATTTGCTCCCAGGAGCTCAGCAGTCAGGACTGGGATAGAGACGCCACCTCCCATGGCCACCAGTGCCCTCCTCTCCCCTGGCTCCGTGGAGAGCCCCTCCCTCCACCAGGGGCAGAGAGGAGCCCGCCAGCCCTGACTGTGGCTTGTGGTCCAGACTCGCCCCTCACTGGACAGGCTACCAGAGGCTGGACTACCCTCCGGGCTCGCGCACACGGTCACATGTATGTGGGGGTATGTGGGGGACCTTTGTGTTTGGGCTCTTGGCCATTCAAGACCTCCGAGCGGCGACCCCAGCCCACCGTGGCTGAGTGGTAACCTCGGGGCGAGTCTCCTCCTTCAGCCACTGGAGGTTTCTGGACCTGCTGGGTGGTGGCAGTGGCCGCATCAGATCAGTGAGGGCCCTGTCCACCAGTGGCCACCGTGTAAGTGCTTGGGCTCCAGTGCCCAGCTCATACAGGTCTCAAAATCACTTCACAGATGAGGACACTGAGGCCAAAGGGTGTGACTCACAGAGGGTCCCATGGTAAGTTACTGACGGAGCCGGGGTCAGACGCATGCAAGGGCAGAAAGGAGTCAGTATCTAAAGATCTACAGCCTTGACCAGGCCAGTGGCACTGAGACCTCAGCCCAGCCCAGCTCCAGGCCAGGGGCTGCCGAGCACCACGCTGACCTGCAGAGGCAGAGGTGGCCCCGCGTGGGAAAAGCCTGGTCCTGCGGCTGGCCTGGACAAAGTTTATAGACGGTGAACCCTGGCCCCTTGGGAGAGAGGGCCAGACTCCGGCATGGGGAGCCATGTTCTGGGGCAGTGCCCTGGAAGTACGGAAACATAGTGTCTGCCCCTCCCTGGGGAGCCCAGACAGGGCCAGGCAGAATGTGTGGAGGACCTCGCTGGCCGCTCTGGCAGCCTGCTGACCCACCCCTCTGACTGCCACTCGGGCCCTGACCTGCCTCCTCAGGCACATGGGAGCTGTGCTGCCCCACTCCCGCAGACACCTAGCGACCGACCCACCTTCTCTTTCTTTGGCTTCAACCTAGAGCCACAAGGGCTCCACCCATCTCCAGCTAGCACCAAAGCAAAGGGCCCAGCTCTGAACAATGCTGAACTGTACAAACAGGGGGACAACCGTGAGGGGTGCACCCCAGCTGCAGGCTTCCGGGGGGGGGGGTGATGGCTGGTCACTGCCTCAGGCCTCCCAATAAGTCCAGCAGCCAGAGATGGGCCTGGACTCTGAGCTGTTTGTTTGGCAGAGTGGTAGGTGGCCTGCTCAGGTGCAGTCTTGGGGACAAGATCTCTGTCAGAACAGACAGGCGATAAAGACAGTGGGGGCAGTAGCTCGAGTGGGGGGCTCCCAACAGCATGGCTTTGCCCTCGGGTACAGCTCCTTACTTCCCACCCAGCTGAAGTTCATGGGAGAGGCTGCCGTGGAGCTGGCAGACTCCCCTTGTCACTCCCCAGGGGCGCAGGGCCTGAGCGGCTGTGTCACGGGGCCTCACCGGCCCTGCCTGGCCGGCCTCGGCTGGTTCTGCCTCACCGGGCCCTGTGCCACCTGCGGCTGCCAGCTCAGCAGGGCCACCAGCCTCCTCTCTGGGGGAGCCTCTGAGGACGTGCACCGTGCTTCTCCCCCTGGGGTCTGAGTCGGTCTGACTCTACCAGGCCGCCCCTCTCTCCTTGCTCTGTCTGGCACGTAGAGCCGTGTGGCCAGCACTGGTCCCGCACTCTGTGCCCCTCCACAGAGACCACAAGCAGCACGAGAATGCAGAGCCGGGGTGGGGCCACTCTCTGGCCTATGGCACGAACTGGGGACCGACCCAGGCAAAGTCCTCATAGGAAAGGACGGTCAGGTGCCACAGGCAGGAGCCACGCCCAGGGCCACAGTCCCAGCTTGCAGCCCGGCTCACCCACACCCCACCAGGCACTGAAGCTGTCTGCAGACCTCAAAAAGAAGGCTCTGTGCATAGCCTTGAGGTCTCTGGGCTGAGAAGGCCAGCTACCCACAGCTGCTGACGGCATGAGGCGGTGCCAGGGTGACACCTATGTCACATCGTATCAATTCCACCCTACTGATTGGTCAGATCCAGCCTTCTCCTCCCACGGAACATCAGGGTCCCCACCAGCCAGCAGCTCCAGGTGCCCATGGGCACACCAAGCCCAGTGCTGCACTGGCCAAGCAGGACCCTCAAGAGGAAGCTTCTGGGACAAGCCTCCCAGGACCACTTCCCCAGTCAGACTGGGGCCACCACCACTGGGCCACATGGGGTTTCCAGGGCTCTGCCAGTCCAGTGCAAGTCTTACGGCTGCAGAGCAGCTCTGCTCGTGCCAGAATGAGGACTCCTGAGGGTCACAGACGCGTCCCCTCCCAGGTAAGGAGAGGAGGGGGCAGCAGGCCCCCATGAATGGCCCAGTAACACTCTACCTCACAGGAACCACTCGGAGAGAGCCCCCAGTGGGGCTCAGGACACCTGAGTGACAGCACACAGACAGACAGCAGGCAAGGGGACAGACGGAGACCAGAAGGGATGGGAGGAGGATGCCCACGAACACGAACAGGGCGTGGGGACATCAGGAACCAGGCCCGCGTCCCCTGCCAGCTGCAGAAGGCTCTCCTGGAGCTGCCCTGAGGCACGCGCTCAGAGGTGGAAGGCACTTGCGGGGGGAGGTGTATGCCACAGGTGGTATCGGAGCAGGTGACTCACGGTGAGTTTACGCTGGAGACAGATGAGCCGCGAGACACAGCACCTCGAGTGTGCTTTACAAAACTGCACATGCAAAAGACAAAACAAACAAAAGTGAGAAAACCAGAGAGGGCTCCAAGAGACGCCAGGGCACGTGTGAGCTGCACTGAGTCGGGCACAGGCTGCAGTGTACATCTGGGCGGGCAGCAGGGACACGCCCATCAGAACGGTGCCCGGTGGGAGACCTTGGGTAAAAGAGAAGTCGAGGAAGAGAGTGACCAGCAGAAGGCGTGGCTCCAGAGAGCACAGCGAGCCCCACCGGAGCTGGGGGACGAGGGGGCAACCGGGGTCCATCTGCCGAAGCATGGCACATGAGGCCCCAGGGAGAGCAGGGGGTGAGGGACAGCTGGCACCACTTGTCCCACAGCCCTGAACGCCACCCTGGCCATATCAGGCGCCCCACACCAGCAGAGTCGGATGACCCGCATGGTCGGTCGCCTGAGCTCAAGAGGAGCAGAGTGGCTAACGCAGGAGGCCCCAAATGCTGCACTTCACCTGGGTCCTGCTGCCTGACCACCCCGCTCTGCTTCCAGCCCACCGGGCCGCTCGTCTCCCTAGGCTCTAAGGCAGGTGCCTCCCCCTCACCATGACCCTCCCCAGGGCAGGCAGGTTCCCTGGGGTGAGACTCAACCACGTCCAAGTGATTTCGGGAAGCTTTCCAGACCAACAGAGAGAAACCAGAGGGGTCTTCACAGCCCTTCAAGGCGGCTTTCCCCAGGGGCAGCTCCTTTTCCAGGCCAAGTCCACATGCGCTTGTGAGGAGCTCAGAGCAACTCACCTACCTGCAGGACCTGTGTGCAAACAGGCTTGTGTGTGCAAGACAGAGTGTGCAAATCAGGGTGTGTGACTGAATAGCTTGTGAATAGGTATGTGAGTGTGTGAGTATCCCAGTGAGTGTAAGCATGTCTGAGTGTGCATGTGAATGTGTATGAACATATGTGATTATGAGCTCTGTGAGGGTGTGAGTGTATACATCTCAGTGTGCGTGAGTGTGAGAGCCAGCATTCAGCAGCCAGGGTAAGGTAGCTGGTGACAGGCCATGTGGCCCTCAGTGACCGCCCCTTCCAGTGGCCTTAGTGGCATCACCTGAAGCCAAAGACACTGAGCCCCAGGTGACCTCAAGCCCCCAGCACACTCACGAGGTAGGATTCTAGCCAGGGCCCTGCCCCTGGGGCACGGGCTCCCAGCTGCACAGGCGCCCACCAACCTCTCCAACGCAGAGTTTGAGCCCCTCCACAGCAGCCCCCGGCCACCCTCAGCAGCGGGCAGTCGGGAGGGGCCCACAACCGGCACAGGCACCAGAAGCTCTGAGCGGTTCCCAGTCTCGGGCTCAGCGCGACACAGGAAGGCAAACAACCACTCGGCTGCCTCTCCACCACCCACGCGTGCCTGGGGCCCAGCCCCGTTCAGCACAGTCCCTGATGACCACATCGGGCTGGCTGCCGTGTCCGACAGGTGGGCTGAGGACATGCCGCAGAGGACACAGCGTGGAGCTACACCCAGGAGAGCCTGCAGGACCACAGTGGGCCCCAAAGTGGGGGACACAGGGGCCACCAATGCCCAATGCCTCAGGCTGGCTGTGGCACGGATGAGCAGGCTGTCAGCAGAGCACCTATGCGTCCCCAGCAGCCCCATTCTCAGAAGAAATGAAGGGGAGGTGACAAGGCCAATAGCTGATGTCCTGAGCACCCCAGGCCCAGGGATGCCAGGCTAGAGCCTTGTTCCCACACAGCAGCACCCCCACCTGGGGACAAGGTGGCGCAGGAAGGCTCTACACCTGGCTGGTGGTGGCCTGGCATGCTCTCGGCAGCTGTTCGGAGGGCCCCAGCACCCTGCGCTCTGAGGTCTCAGCAGGGAGTGGGTGCCCCTGAGGAGGGATGATCCCAGCAGCCAGCAGGGCCCAGGGGAAGCACCCCCCCAACCAGGAACAGCAGAGAAGGTAAACACCACACAGAAAGCCCGCACGGCTCACCACCACCCTCCCCACAGCAGATCTCCAGCAGCTCGTGGAGCCCACGAAAAGGGGCCGTGAGGGGCCTGCTGGGTGAAGCGGCCTCCACTCAGCAGGCCCAGGATGAACAGCGCAAGCCACTGCATCAGCCAGACAACCAAACACGGAGACACCTGAACACCCAGCCCCCGCAGCCATCTGAGTGAGGACTGCTATGTCCTGCCTGGCTCTGTGCAGGCCCCCTGCACTCCTGGCTGGGCCACAGAGGCCTGTAACGTCCTTTGGCATCTTCTCCCCAAAGGCCAGCACTTTCTGCCTGGCTTAGAGACAGGCCTTCTGCAAATGCCTCCCTAGAAAACAGGCCATCACCTTGGTGAGGGCCGGGCAAGAATGAGGCCGCTAGGATGCTCGCACATGCACACTCAGGCCTGGCCCTGTCATGTGCCAGCGAACACAGCAGCTTGGCACGTCAGCCCAGGTCACCAGGGGCTCGTCCTGGTCCTGCAACCACAGCGCCCAGAAGAGGGAGGCCAGTACGAAGCGAGGGGCCCAGGTCGCAGAGGACATGGGAGGTGGGGTAGAGTGGGGGCCCAGCCAAAACAGAGCCGGCAGCTCAAGGGTGGACTCCGTGCGGCCAGAAGGCAAGGTGCTCAGCTCCTCTGGGCCGTCACGGGCACCCTGTGGCCAGGCCACGGTGCCCGCTCCCTTGCCGCCTCCCGAGCCAGGAGCTCTGTCCCACTCTGAAGCGCCTTGAGGCTGGGCTGAACGTGGGGGTGACCAGCCCCCCACAGAAGCGCTGGCTCACCCATCCTAGAGGCTTTCCTTTGACCCCTGTCCCAGTACCAAATACTTGAAGACATTTTTGAAACCATGAAGACTGTGGGGCCACTGAGGCACCACCTTGGGTCTTCTGGCTCAAAATACATTCCTGAAAAGCTACGTATACAGACAACTGACCCCTTACCCAACTCCCAGGCTTTGCCCCGGGCACACTGTGGAGCCACGCGAGACCCTGAGGGGGTAGACGCCCCCAGCAGAGCCACTCCCGCCCACGTGAGGGCCACTCGTGTTCCTCCTCGAGCCGGGAGAAGCCCAGAGGCTTTCCCGAGGGGGCCCTTTGCTCAAAGCTCCCCGCAGGAGAGGGGAGCGCCGGGGCGGGTCTGTGTCCTGACCACCTCCAGCCAAGGCCAGCGGCCCTCTGGGGGAGCCTCCGGAGGGCCCAGCTCGAGACCCCATCTGGCCCCGCCGCCATCCCACGATCCACCCCGGAGCCTTACGCCGCGATGGAGATGTTTGCAGCAGACATGGGGCTGACTTCAGCTACTTCTTTGGCCTTTTGCAGAGCAAGCTTCTGATTGGCTGCTTCTTCCATCTCCTCCTCATCCTGTTTGAAGACAGAAACACATGCAGCCTCCATCGGCTCTTCTCCCGATCCCGAGCCCTTCCTGCCCTTGGAACCTGTGGGGCCAGGTATCCGGCTCTTGCACCGAGCACGATCCCACACCAGTCTGTGGCAGCCTTAGCAACCCCCGCCCCATGCCTGCTGCTCGGGGTGACGGCCCCACACCTGTGCTTGCCCCCTGACCCCACTCTGGGGTCCAGCCCCAGGGACCCAGCCACTGCCTAGGCATCTGTCTGGCTCTACAGCACCTCAGACTCTGCCAAGTGCAAGCCCATCCCCCTTTGGTTCCCACCTTCCTCCCACACTTCCAGGAGCACCTGCCAACCTGGGCCATGTCAGCCTCTGCCCTCTGCCGCAGAGCCGTGAGCAGGCTCCACACTGAGCCCAGGGTCCCAGCCAGGGCCACTTTGGGGGCCATCACCAAGAGTGTGTTCAGCACAGCCACCTCACAGCCTTTGAGCTTTTCCACCTGGACCCGTGGAAGCGCCTGTGCCCACCTGTCCCAGGTGCGAATGAATCCCCTCTGCCTCCCTGGACCCCCTGAGGACCGCAGCGCCTGGCCATGTGCCCATCACCACTGGGTTCCTGGAGAGGGCCTGCACGGCTCTCTGACCCCGGGCCAGCGTGTGCTCATGAGCGCAGATGTGTGCAAAGACCTGATGCCCCTCTGCCCCCTCAATGGGGAGAGGAGTGGACATCTGCATTTCAGGTCACAAGGCTCTGCTCCTGGGGCCTGGAAAATTAGCTCTAGGCTGAGTTCCTGGACCCTGGGAGGGAAACCAAGGCCTCCATGTCATCCAGACAGACTGCTGGGACCACCCTTACTTCCCCCAAAGACCCCAATCCCAGGCCACTCGGCTCCCCTGAGAGCTGACATTCCCAACTTGTCCCCAGATGTCCTGGAATCTGCTTTTACAGGCCCAATAATGGCAAAAACTAAGTCCCTGTTAGCTCCCTGCAGACTTTCCACCACAGAGAGCCCTCCAGGCCCTGGAGGGGAGGCACAGCCAGTCCCACCCCAGCCCTGCCCACCAAGGTCCCTCCCTGAGCTGTGGGTGTGTTTACATAATGCCCTCGGGGGTTGGAGGGGTCCCTCCAAGCACTCCAAAGGGTGCTCTACAAACAAACTCAACTTGTGTTTATTTCTACTTCAAATAATAAATGATTCTACATCGTATCTGTGGGAATATGAAGGGAGGGGTCAAGTGCCCCCTTTGGGGCTCTGAGCCAGCCCAGATAATGCTCCACAGCCTAACAAGACAGATGCCCCAACTCCAAAAAAAGGGAAGCATGAATAGGGGCAGTTATCCCCAAAGAGCCAGGGTGTCTGGGTGTGGAGACATGGCCCAGGACACCCTGCACCTTCGCCTACAGAAGCGCCTGCAGAGATGGGGAGAACGTGGGGCTCAGGCTTCTTCCCCACCAATGAGGCTACGGCCACCCCAGTTCCCAGGGTCCCAGAAACCCTGACACCAGACAGTGCTCTTTGGGAACACAGGGTGCCAGGCCAGGAGCCCAGCCAGGGGCTGGCCCCACTGACAACAGGAACAGCAGGCCAGGGGGACTCCCACATCCTCGCCAGGGCATGGGACGGGTCTAGACCCACAGGCTCCAACCAGCCAGGCCTGGGGCAGGGGAGGAGGAAGGTGGGCAAAAGCCTGAGGCACTGCAGGGGCCCCCCACTCCCAGGGCGCAGTGGGGCAGCCTGTGGACCCTGATGCCCGTAGAGGTACAGGATGTCCCACAGGGAAGGCCCACGAAAAGCTCGGCCTCACCAAGGCACAGAGCTGGGGGTCTGGGGCACTGACTGCATCAGACACACACGGGGTTGTCAGGACGGGGGCAGAGCACACAGACGCCCGCACACAGGTGCACACACAGCATTCAGAACAAGCACACGGGGTGTCTACAAAGGGGGGCCTGACCAGGAGGTAACGCTCTCTGCCTGGTGAGCTGGGCCACCACACACAAGCCCAGGCCCTGGGACGGAAGGTGCCCAGGCAGGGGCTGCCGCATGGAGGGAAGCCACAGGGAAGCAGTGTGACCACACCCCCACCACGCTCAGGGATGAGGGATGAATGCTAAGTGGCAACCACTGGGTGCAGCCTGGAGAAGCAGCTGTCCTGTGGAGGCACAGACGAGTCGATGAGAGGACCCCAAATGCTCCTCCAGGCACATGCCAGGCCCAGCACCACCCAGGGACAAGCAGGGGGTCCCTCACCTCCCAGGGACAAGCAGGGGACCCCTCACCTTCAAGGGATGGGCAAGGACCCCTCAACTCCTAAGGATGAACAGGGGCCCCTCTTGCCTCCCAGGGACAAACAGAGGCCCCTTGCCTTCCAGAGATGAGCAGGAGCCCCTCAACTCCTAGGGGTGAGCACAGGGAGCTTCACCACCCAGGAAAAAGTAGGGGACCCCCCTCAACTCCTAGGGATAAGCAGGGGAGCCCCTCACTGCTCTTCAGGGTCTTCAGAGCTGGATGTACCGTAAAGCCCACCACATGTGCCCCTCTTGCCGGAGGGACAGCCTCTCACTGCACACAGCCACACCGATGCGTCTCCTGGCCGCCTCAGGGCCCTGCTCCTCAGGTCTGTCCAGCTGCACCCCCGAGGAGCATCTCCTGCCCACCAGCCTCTCTGGCCATCGTCCCCGGGCCTGGCTTCTCCAGGAGCTGCCCTGTGGTCATCTGCCTTCCTGGCCCAGCGGTTCCGTGCTTCCCCAGGGACATCCCCCACCCCTGAGCAGCAGCCCGGCTTCTTCCTACCCAGGACTTGAGACCCCTGGACCGTGGTCACACAGGTCTTCCCCCGGGGCTGGCCCCCCCTCACAGCTCTCTGGCCCCATGGAGAGCGACCTGGCCTGCACCCTTCCCCACCTCCGCACCTTGGTCAGCTCCTGAGCGTTGGCCAGGTTGTCCACGGCGATGGCCAGGAAGACGTTCAGCAGGGTGTCTGGTCGGCTGCAGCTAAGGAAGGGAGCCCTTCTGATTCCACCCTCCCACATAGCTATACCACGGCTTCCCCCACGGAAAGCAGGGGCCCCCATGCCCCCAGAATGGCCACTGTTATCCCCAGAGGCACCCCAGCCCAGCCCTGTGGCCCTCTGGCCTCCAACCAACACTCCTTCCCTCGACTTCCAGTCACTGCCTCCCCTCACGCCCACAGAACCCATCCCCTCCCCCAGCTCTCCAGGGCCGGCTTTCCAGGCACAAGCTCACAGGCCACGCTGGGTCAATTTGCTTTTCCCTCCTGGGGAGGCACATGGACTGCCTGGTTCAGCCCCACCATTCCCCAGTTCTGCCAGCATGAAACACCTCCCAAGAAACACCTGCTCTCATAGGCTGCAACACAGGCTCTGTCACCCCCAGGTCCTGTGACAGGAGGCATCCCAGACAGACCGAGAGCACGCAGACCCACTGTGACCGGCGCCTTTAGCACCCCAGCCCCGGGGCAAGTCCCTCGGACACCTGCTGACTTTGTCCTCATCCTTCCTCTCCTAAAGCCCAGGGATCTTCTCCCTCCAGCCGTCCTCCTCCTACAGGCCGGGGGGCCATGCTGGTGGCAGACGGCACCGGGTGCCCAGTATGAGGCCTGGAACACTGCATCCCTCTGGGCCCCTGGGAGCCCCAGGAGAAGGCGCTGCTAGGCCCCAGGGTAGGCGGCTTGCCGGGGCCTCAAACCTCCCCAGGAGCGGCCGCCCCGGCCCCACACTGTGCTCGGCACCGCTCTGCAGACCCAGGCCCCCTTGCCGTCTCATTCTCTGGCTCCACGGATATGGCCACTCCTGCAGTCAGAGCCTGTGTATGTGGCTGGGCCCCGTCACCACACGCCTGGGACGCAACTCCCCGACCCAGGCCGCAGCTGCCCGGCAGCTGACTCTGTAGGAGGCCAACGGCATGAGCCTTGGTGGTCAGGCCCCTGCCAGGCCTCAGGGGGGCCGACATCCTGCAGACAAGACTGCTCAGGGCTCCAGCAGGGCCCACAGGGCCAGACACCAAGGCTGCACTGCCACCTTCTGACACTAACCTCGGCCATGGACACCTTCAGAGGCCTTCCATGCCCTAAGAGCAGTACTAGGGCTGTGCCCTCAGGGCCCAGCCAGGGGGACACACAGGTGTGGCAGGAGCGGCTCCAACAGGACAGGATGGGGAGCCTGACTCGCACGGTCAGAATCAGCCGTGGAGAGAGCGGCCCGGCTCCGCCTGAGGGCCCAGGGGCCTCCTTCAGGACCGCAGCTGCCCCGCTCCACCACCTGAGGCCAGTGCTGCAGCCTTCTCCCTTCTCTGACCACCTGGTCTTCTCCCACACCACCCCAGGCCCCACCCATCTGCTCAGCAAGCCAAACGCAGGCCCCCTGCTCTCCCTCCCTGGGCCTCCTGCTCAGCCTCCGGAGGGGGCCAGATGCCCCACCATGGGCTGGGGCCCGAGCTGCAACGCCACTCGGGCTGAGAAATGCTGCCATCCCTGCCAGGGGCTGCGGCAGAACAGACAGGCGGAGGGGAAGGGGGCACACAGAGCAAAGGGGAACAAGGTCTGGAACGCAGAGGGTCAGATGGGGTGTGTGAGGGGAGAGGGGGGTGCTCGTCTCCAGCTCTGACCTTCCCTACTGAGGGTCCACCACAGCACTCCACAAAGTGAGGTCCCCAGGCCGGCAGCACCTGCACCCAGGGAGCCCACCTGAGCGCACATTTGTGGGTGGGGATCTGGGCTTCACCCACCCCCGGGGCACTCTGACAGGTGGATGGGTTTGGGAGCCGGAGCCACACCTCCTCAGCGATGGGGCCTCCCCTGCACTCATGAGCCAGCACCACTCACCCTGCGGCCTCCCTTTCCCCCGTGGCAGAACCGCCGCCTGCTGCTGGGCCTCCCTTGACTCCACAGACCCACCCTCCCACGCCAGGCCCCGAATCCCGCCTGGCATCCTCCACAGAAAACCTTTCTTTGCCCGTCTCTGCAGGCACTACATTCTCAGCAAGGGAAGGTTTCTGAAAAGACCAATGCCAAAACTTAATTGTTGAACCAAAGTGAAAGAAGGCCCAGCCCACCAGCTGCCTTCAGTGCCCACAGCCCATGTCTTCCCGCAGATCCTCCCTGAGCCCCCCACTGACGCCACCCCCTCCCACACCCCGTGGTGGCCGTCCTCCATCGACCTGAGCCCCCACAGCCGCTGGGTCCCTGGCTCAGGCCGACTGGAGCGGTCGCCCCTGGACTTGGCCAGTTCTCCCACGAGAGGGGCTCCATGGTCCACACTGCATGGAGGCGCCTCTTAGGAAGGCCAGCAGGCCCCCCACTCCTCCTGAAGGAGGAGAGGGACAGGCAGACCCTGAGCCGGCACCAGACACCGGGCTCCGCAGCCCCGCAGAAGGATACAATTCCCGAACAGCGTGAGGACGATGAAGTAAAAGGATGAGAACATGCCTTTGCTGACTCCGCCCTGTGACTCGATCCCGTGATACATCACCGCGTTCCAGTCCTCTCCGGTCAGGATCTGTGGAGGGAGAGACCGCAGGCCACGCCGGCACGGCCACTTGCACACTCATGGTCAGGACGTAGCTGTGTCCCAACAGCCCATGGGCACACACGCACCCAGTGTTTAGATGTTTCTGGAGGTCAAGGTGGCCCAGGTCCTCCAGAAAAACTTCCAGAACGATACGGCTGCTGAGCTGGGTCAGGGCTCAAAGGATGAATATGCTCCAGGTTTTCAGCCAAAAACGGAAAGGGAGAGCCAAGCAGGAGAAAAGCTGTGCGAGGCAAGAACGGAGCAGCAGCAAGGGGCTGGAGAGGTGAGGCCGCGCCCGGGGACAGATCCTGAGCTGCCAGCACCCTGGGGGCCTGTTTGCAGCCGAGGAGGCCGAGGCTCAGAGAAGGGCCACAAGCTGCTCCAGGCCCAGGGAACAGCCACAGGGCAGCCACAGGTTCCTGCTGCCCCTGGCCAGCGGGGCCAGGCTATGAGGGTGGCTAAATGCAATCCCTGTGCCATCAGGAAACACATCTCTCTTTTCTACTTTTAATTTTGGAAACGTACAAGAGGCTAAAATAACATTCAAGTGTCCACCACTCAAAATGAAAATTGCCAACATTTTGTCATATTTGCATCAGGTCTCACTGCTGAGATCACCCCAACAGGCAGCCCCAATCACGAACCTGGTGAGAATCCGTGTCTTTACAGTTCGATGACCCATAGCATGTACGTCTATAGACAAAATATGCCACACGCATGGGAGGGCATCAGACTATGCACTTCCGCTCCAGAGCTGGAATTGCTGGAAGTTGGTCACGCACATCTGTGAAATTTCCAAAGGGCATTCCCACCAGCAGCATAGGCTGCTGCCCTCACACCACCCTTGGCACTGCCTCACCACTGCCGACACCCCTGTGGCAGGGTGACAGGTCAGCCAGGGAGGTGGATGTCTTCCCGTGTGTCCAGTGGCCATCAGGATCTCCCCCCATATGGCGGCTTTTTCAACTCTTTGGCTCACATTTCTGATGGCTCATCTTTTTCTTACTAACTTGTGAGAGACCTCCTTACATCTTCTTGTATACACTAACTCTCAGCAATATCTACCAGAAATACTTTCTAGTCACCTTTGTTTTTAACTTATGTTTGTATGACAAGAAAGTTTCGTGTAGTTAAACATGTCAATCTTTTCCTTTATGGATTCTGCTTTTTGCACTTGACTTAAGAAAGTCTTCTCCACCCCAAGGTCATAAAGATATTTTCCTATATTTTCTTCAAATCATTTTAAGGCTTGGTTTTCCACATCAGGTTTCTGATCTGCCTGGAGTCTGCGGTTCCTGCTCTGTGTGTGCTTTACTGAAGTATGACTCACATACCCTATAATTCAGTCATTTAAAGAGTGCAATTCAATGGTTTTTAGACATGTGCAACTATTACCACACTCAATTTGAGAACATTTTCATCCCCTTAAAAAAGAAACCCGTACCTATTAGCTATCAGCCACCTGGCTGCGGGTTGCTTTTCTTTTTAAGTCAATTCTTATCATAACATTTTTCTAAATCATAGTATCAGTGTTTTATCTTTGTACAGCTATTGACGTGCGTGTGTTTCTCTTCTGACCATAGAGCCTAGGGCAATTACCTTAACAAATTCTTGCATTACTGGAATAAACACAGTTCAGCCATGAGGTCCAGTTTTACACACAGTTGGATGTGGTTTTCTGATATTTTATTTCAGAGTGTGTGCATCTGCCTCCACTGAACCACATGTGGAGGAGGGCCTGCTGTGCGTGCCAGGCAATACTCAGGAGCCCAGTGGACAGCGGACAAAGCAGATGCGGCGCCTTGGGGAGCCTGTCCTCTCAGTTGTGGGCACTTTCCCGACACTGTCCTTGCCTGGCTGTGGTGCTGAGGCAGCATTAGTCTCAGGAAATTATTTCTTCTCCTCGAAGTGGTCTGAGTAAGCTACTACCCGCTCCTCGAAGGTGTGACGAACTCGCCTTATAGCCCACTGGCCCAGAACAGGGTGCAGGGAGACAGCAAGAGAGCTTTGACTGTGGATTCCCTCCTCTAATGGTCATAAAATCATCCAAGTTTTTTTACTGCTTCTTGCACTAATTTGATATTTTCCTACAAAAGTGCATGTTTCACCTAAGTTTCCAAACCTATTGGCATAAAGTTGGCATAATATTCTTTGGGAATTTAAGGAGTTTCTCCGTCTCTGTGGGTACATGTCCCTCCCGGGCTATGCTTTTTATCTGTGCTTTTTTCTCGATGGGTCAGCTAGGAGGTTCTCTACTGCCTGGTCTTCTTGAGAACTAGGTTTTTAGGATTTTATGATCTTGGTGCTTTAGTTTTCTCAGTGTTTGCTCTTACGTCATTTTCTCCTGGTTTCAGTATTTCTTCAGTTCACTCCATTATTCTTTCATCTATACTTTGAAGATGAGTACTTAACTCAGTCACTTCAGTCTTCCATTTATTTTGATAACTGCATTTAAGGAGATGTTTCCCTCAAAGCGCTCCTCAGCTTTGTCCCAGGGTCGGGACGTCGCTGCTCAGCTCCACTTCTTTGTGACATGCACTGTAACGTCTTCTCTGACTCAATCCTTCAGCTTTCAAAGATTTTTTTTAATTTTGGTATCGCTAATGTACAATTACGTGAGCAACATTATGGTTACTAGACTCCCCCCTTCACCAAGACCCCCCCCACATGCCCCATTACAGTCGCTGTCCATCGGTGTGGTAAGATGCTGTAGAATCACTACTTCTCTTCTCTGTGTTGTACTGCCTTCCCCATGTCACCCCCACTACATTATGTGTGCTAATCATAATGCCCCATTTTCCACCTTCTCCCTCCCCTCCCACCCATCCTCCCCAGTCCTTTTCCCTTTGGTAACCGTTAGTCCATTCTTGGGTTCTGTGATTCTGCTGCTGTTTTGTTCCTTCAGTTTTCCTTTGTTCTTATGCTCCACAGATGAGTGAAATCATTTGGTACTTGTCTTTCTCCGCCAGGCTTATTTCACTGAGCATAATACCCTCCAGCTCCATCCATGTTGTTGCAAATGGTAGGATCTGTTTTCTTATGGCTGAATGATATTCCATTGTGTATATGCACCATCTCTTTATCTATTCATCTACTGATGGACACAGGTTGCTTCCATATCTTCACTATTGTAAATAGTGCTGCGATAAACATAGGGGTGCATCTGTCTTTTTCAAACTGGGCTGCTGCATTCTTAGGGTAAATTCCTAGAAGTGGAATTCCTGGGTCAAATGGTATTTCTATTTTGAGCTTTTTGAGGAACCTCCATACTGCTTTCCACGATGGTTGAACTAATTTGCATTCCCACCAGCAGTGTAGGAGGGTTCCCCTTTCTCCACATCCTTGCCAACATTTGTTGTTGTTTGTCTTTTGGATGGTGGCGATCCTTACTGGTGTGAGGTGATATCTCATTGTGGTTTTAATTTGCATTTCTCTGATGATTAGCGATGCGGAGCATCTTTTCATGTGTCTGTTGGCCATCTGAACTTCTTCTTTGGAGAAGTGTCTGTTCAGCGACTCTGCTCATTTTTTAATTGGCTTATTTGCTTTTTGTTTGTTGAGGTGTGTGAGCTCTTTACATAATTTGGATGTCAACCCCTTAACGGATATGTCATTTGTGAATATATTGTCCCATACTGTAGGATGTCTTTTTGTCCTACTGATGGTGTCCTTTGCTGTACAGAAGTTTTTTAGTTTGAATTAGTCCCACTTGTTCATTTTTTATTTTGTTTCCCTTGCCCTAGGAGATACATTCATGAAGAAATTGCTCATATTTATGTCCATGAGATTTTTGCCTATGTTTTTTTCTAAGAGTTTTATGGTCTCATGACTTACATGCAGGTCTTTGATCCATTTTGAGTTTACTTTTGTGTATGGAGTTAGACATTAATCCAGTTTCATTCTCTTTTGCATGTAGCTGTCTGGTTTTGCCAGCACCAGCTGTTGAAGAGGCTGTCATTTCCCCGTTGTATGTCCATGGCTCCATTATCATATATTAACTGACCACATATGTTTGGGTTTATATCTGGGCTCTCTAGTCTATTGCACTGGTCTGTGGGTCTGTTCTTGTGCCAGCACCGAATTGTCATGATTACTGTGGCTTTGTAGTAGAGCTTGAAGTTGGGGAGCACAATCCCTCCCACTTTATTCTTCCTTCTCAGGATGGCTTTGGCTATTCGGGGTCTTTTGTGGTTCCATATGAATTTTAGAACTATTTTCTCTAGTTCGTTGAAGAATACTGTAGGTATTTTGGTAGGGATTGCATTGAATCTGTAGATTGCTTTAGGCAGGACGGCCATCTTGACAATAGTAATTCTTCCTATCCATGAGCACGGGATGTGTTTCCATTTATTGGTGTCTTCTTTAATTTCTCTCATGAGTGTCTTGTAGTTTTCAGAGTGTAGGTCCTTCACAGCTTTCAAAGATTTTAAATGACTTCCTACTAGTGGTTTCTATTTATTTAAATAAACAAATATCTCATCTACAGATAATGATTTCCCCTCATCACAGTGTGCCCCGGCCCGAAATCACCTTTGTTCACTGTGCTCAGCCCTCCGAGCGCACACTCTCCCAGGTGGCCTGGGCGCGGCACCACGGGCCCCCCGCAGCCTCCACGTCGCCCTCCTCTCTTGGATCATCAGGTACACAGCTCCCCCTTTACTTTTTATTTAAGTAGGAATGTGTCTCATTTCTAGGATTTCTACTTAGCTCTTTTTCACATTAACTATTCTCGGCTCTCACTGCCTTTGTCCCCCAATTCTGTGTAGCGTGTTTCTCCTCCAGCTGTTTGTGATCCCCAGCAGCTTCAGCTCAAAGTCACCAGTGTTTGCTCCACTGTTCCCATTTCTTTAGGAGGGAGGTCACCCCGTGGCTGCATGTCGTGGGCCCTACGCTGTGGCAGCTTCTGCCCTTAAATCAGAGCACATGATGGTCCGCAGGTCCACTGTGAGCAATGCTGAAGTTCTTTCCTCCCTGGTCACATGCCCTCCCTGGCACCTCTCCAGCCCTATCCAGAGCCAGGGCCCCCACATGGGGCCTCAGGCAGTGCCCCAACCCCAAGCAGCACCTGTAGGAGTCATGGTCAGGCCTGGCCACCAGCCTGCCCTTCTGATTGCAGCCCCCTGCAGCCATGATCAGCTCTCAGCAACCGGCTCCCAGCTGCACACCTTCCCCAGCATGGGCCAGCCAAGTGGTGCCAGCACACCCCCTCCCAGTAGTGCATCTCTTAGCACTGCTCGTCTCAAGCCCACAGACCCTGCTCTCTGCTTGGCTGGGTCCTTTTAGTTTCCTCATCTTACTGCTGTATTCAGAGCAGAGGGGGACTAAACCAGAACATCTCAGGTCAGAACCATCTTTTCCTCCTGGCTTTTGGCTTCTCCCCTTCTGGCTTCTCATGCCACCACCACTGACCATATTCAGCCCCTTTCTCACAACAGACACAACGAGTCACAGTTATGACTGTCAATCACACCACCCCTCCTTTGGAAATCTGGGAAAGCCTCTCGTCCTGGCCCTTGAGACCCATCAAGGCAGCCCCACCAGCCCCAGGGCCACCACCACAAACCCCTTCTAGCAGCTCTGTCTGGAATTCACAGCTGAGCCCCCTGGCCTGACGTCCAAGACCCCAGTAGGCTGACCACAGGGCTAAAGCTCCTTTCTGTGGCCAGGCTGATCAGGACAGGTTGTGGCCTCCTCTGCCCAAGCCCTGGGCTGAAGGCTGCTCACCCTGGTCCCGGGGCATAGACGCCTTCACCCAGTGTCGAAAGCCTTGGGGAGACGCAGGCTCGGAAGTCACCATGAGTGGGTGCAGAGCCCCCATGTCAGGCAGAGATGGTGGCAAGCATGCAGGCACTTAGGAATGAGAGCAGGAGAGAAGCTGCAGAGTGACCCAAAGGTCAGGTCAGGAGGGAGTGGGGTGAGCACAGCCTAAGACCCTCACAGGTGGGGGCTGAGGCGCCTGAGAAGATGCCCTGCTGGGCTGCCACGGAGGGCTGAGGGGTGCCAGGGCTTCAAGCCAGGGGACAGAGAGGCCTGTGGGCGCACACCTCTGGAACTGGTGACTCTGCTGCCAACCATCTGCTCTGGCTGGGAAGAGGCCTGCTGGACAGCTCCCTTCCTCAGGAGAGTAGGGTCCAAAGGACCCTCTCCTTACACACACGTGAGCCCCATCTGTGGCCAGGGGTCAGGTCGGCAGCCCCGGAGGCCAGGGGGCCAAGCAGAGCTCTAGCCTGAGCACAGACGGCCCACTGGGCTGCAGTGAGTGACAGGCAAAACCGCGGCTGCTCTCCTGCTCGTTCTCAGGCACGTGTCTAAAGAGGCCCACGGACAGATGCATGTGTGGCGTCATCACACAGGCAAGGCCAGTCATGGGGGCCCTTAGGGGCTCACAGCCCCCCACAGACCCTCAAGTGGACCCTCCAAGAGGGCAGAGGCCACCTGCACCACAAGGCGCTCAGAGATCACGCTTCCCAGGGCAAGCTTTCCAGACGCAGAAGGGCGCTGAGCACCAGAGGGAGGAGCCTGGGGGGGGCTCTGTCGCCTGGCTTTCCTCTAAAGCAGGAAAGAGCCAAGTTCCAGTCCCAGGGGCCAAGGGGTGAGTGGGCAGCTTGAAGCTCAGGGGCTGCCAAACAGCTGGGCCCCCCAGGAGCATGCTCGCTCCGCAGGAAGGCATCCGGCTCCTGACCAGCTCCCACACTGGGGGGCAGCGCCCCAGAGGACCGGGGCCCCGCGCACCGGGGACCTGCCTATTCTCATCGTCCTGTTTTGTGACGCGTTCGGTCTGTAACACCGCCCGTGCTGAGACCGGAGCGGGGCGTGCCGGGGGCGGGGCGTACCTGGAAGACAGTGAGGATGGCAGCGGGGAAAGTGTCGAAGTTGGTTGTCGGGGTCTCATCTTGAAAGTTGAACCTGTGGGAAACAAGCGGCCCCGGGAAGACGCAGCCGTGAGGCACCTGGGCGAGCTGGCGTCGGCGCCCCGGCCCTTCGAAGGCCCTCGGCGGGAGGCGGGAAGGACCGCCGAGGCCGCCCCACTGCCCGGGGCCCTGCCCGCCGGCCCTCCCGCCCCGGGGCCCACTTACTGCCCCCCGAACAGCTGCATGCCCAGCAGGGCGAAGACCACGATGAACAGGAAGAGCAGGAAGAGCAGGCTGACGATGGACTTCATGGAGTTGAGCAGGGACACCACCAGGTTCCGCAAAGAGCTCCAGTACCTGTCGGGCGGGCGGGCGTCTGGGCCCTGGGCACGGCGCTCTCTCGCGCACCTGGGACTCCTGGGGCCTTCCGAAGCCCGGGGGCCCCCACCCCAAGACGGGAAGCCGGGGCCTTCCTCCGGAGCTCCGGGACCCCCGTCCCCCTGCTTCTGGGGGACCCACGGAGGCAAGAGAGTCAACGGGGCCAGGGCCGGACCCACCCCACCTCCGAACTGCTCCCTGCCGCCCTGCTCAGCAGAGCGACGGCCCTCCCCTCGGTGGCCGCATGGTCCCAGCTTCACCCCCGGCCTCTGCCTGGCCTTTGTCCTCCACGCCGAGCAGGTGTGGGGAGTGGGGCCCGCGACTGGAGGAAGGTGCCCGGGACACACACCCACGCCCACAGCGAGCAGGCCCTCGACACAAAGAGCCTCGGCCGAGCTGAACGTGCGCTGGGGCGTGACCCTGGGACGGAGCTCCTGCCCCCGAGGCCAGGGACACCGGGGCGTGCGTGGGTGTGCAGTACTGCCGGCCCCCCAACCCGCCTGTCCCACAGTCCAAGAGGGTCCCCCTTTCCCCCCAGGCCATATGGCACCTAGGCCCCCTGAGGTCCGATGACTGACAGCTCCACCAGCAGCTGCCTGGGTGACTGGTCCCCTCCCACCCCCGTCTCTGGAGGGGTGTCACCCAGCAGAGCCCAGAGAACATGGCTTTCCCTCCAGCCTGTAGGAGACACGCCACAGGCTTCCGTGGCTTTGCACATGCTGTTCCCACCCTGGAATGGGGGAAGGGGCAGTCTCCCCACACTCCCCCTGCCGTTGGGCCTTACTTGCCCTAACACGTCCCTGGTGCCGGCCGCGGGGGCCCACTACCGTCCAGGGGCTCCCCTACACGTGTGTGAGGACTAAGGGGAGATGGGCTGGAAAACTGGAAAAGCCTTCTCCCGGGACGGACAGGGGTCCAGGTCAGGGACACCTGCCTTCCAGAAGAAAACGGCCCCCTACAACACCATGTCCCCAAGCCAAGAGGAAAGCAGCCCTAGCCACCTCCTAGAGCCAGCACCTGGCAAGAAGTGACAGAGGCACACAGTACAGAATGCCCAGCCATGTCCGTGGGCCAAGCTGGACAGAACACCCGCCCCAGACTCTTCTGCAGTTACACCGTCAGATCCTCAACTGGCCTCAGGCTTGCATTTAAAAGGAACCGGAAAAGACCAGTAGAATTTTCACCTTCCCTGGGGAGACCCGTGGGTTCTGGGTGGCCACTGAAGAGACCTAGAGCCCAGGGCCTGCAGCGGTGTGACTGAACCAGGCTGCCAGGGACGCTGTATGGACACCACACTGGTGCATGCAGGCCGACACGTACGGGCTCCCAGCAGCCTCAGAAACTCAGGACAGGTGAGGCTATGGCAGCTTGGGTCCCACTGGCACAGAGCAGCCCTGGCCACTTGTAAGAGAGGAGCACGTGTAGCAGCTCACCTCTCCCTGTCACCACAACACCAGCAGGGAGGGGAGACTCAGCCGGCACCACGCTCAACACGTCGATCCCTCCCTACGGCCCTCGCTCACCCCCTCACCGCCACCCCCGTTCACCCCCTCATGCCCTCACTACCACCCCCCGCCTCTCGCAGGCAGGGCAGGTTCGGGGCAGGATGACTAAACGGCAACTCCCATCTGTGAACTTGTGTTTCTCTGCTAACTGCAGCAGGTCACCCATTGAAGGTGAGAAGATGGATGCTGTTTTGGAGAGGGGGGGGTATGGTCCCCAGGGGGCAAGCTAGCCAGCCAGCCAGAAATCCTGCTGGCACCATGGCCCCGGGCATGACCACAGGATGAGATGGCCCCCAACAGGGTCACGGTGAGGTCGTGGTGCAGGCTGGTCATACCCGTCCTCTGTGTGTGACCCACTCCGAAGCCCTGGAGAGTCCCCGGCAGCTGAGTGCAGAGCCGCAGCGTGAATTCTGAGAGGCATGCGTGCAGTGTCCGCCAAGTCACATGTTGCCTGCACCCCGACTGCCCCCACAGGAACCAGGGACGACATACTTTGTGACCTTGAAGATCCTCAGCAACCGGAGTGCCCGCAGCACGCTGATTCCGAAGGATGTTCCCGGCTTGATGGCAGCCCAGACCACTTCAAAGATGCTCCCCACGATGACCTGCAGTGGGGGCAGGCCAGGTCCGCACACACACTCTTACGTGGTGTGCATGTCTGTGCGCACGCTTCCCTCCCCAAGCATCCACTTCCCATCTGCGGCCAGGCCAAACGAGGCATAGCAGGTACACACCTGGCATGGAGTCCCGGCGGCAGTTGGGGAGCTGCAGCCCCATGAGTCCCAGGGCCTGCCTCCCACCCCACCCGACATCCCAGGAGGGCAAAGAAAGAGAGCACGGTTAGACCTGTCACCCCGACAGACCCTAAAGCCGCCTTGTGTGATGCCTCCCCTGGGCCTTATCGCGGCCAGGCAACCCCAGCGTCTTCCTAAACACCTCTGGGGCCGGACGAACCACTCGGGCAGCCGTGAGCACTAGACAGCGCTCACAGAGTGGCACAGCCCACTTCTCTGCAGTGTTCCCCGGTCCCGCACTGCTCGGTATTCACATTCATGCAGCGCCTGAGTCTTGAGTTCTCCTGATGACCAGGAGCCAGCGCAGGACAACACGAACAGACTGTGGCGAGCCTGTCCCTTTGTTTCACCCACGGGGTCATCCCAGGCACTGCCCATGCTGGTGGCTCCCAGCTGTTCCACAGATGGGCTCTGCAAAGGGCATCCTGGTCATTATCTGCTGTGAGGGACTCAGAGGACAGAGCAGCAGGGCTGGTGCCCGGCAGACCCTCACCACCTTTCCTCATGGCAGGACACCCAGGAGGCCCAGGCCCAGCACCTCCTGAGCCACCACACCTCATGGGGCTCCCTAGCGCACAGCACAGGTGCCCACATCCTCTTCGTGTACGTGGCTAAGTCCTGTTTCCTCTAACTCACCTTCCGCACTTCGTGTAGGGAACTCAAATATCGGGCATTAAACTCTTAAGTTCCGTTTTACTGTGCTTGGCCTACACATTAGCCAGGGTTTTCATTCTTTCCACCCATTTTGCATCAACGTAAGTCTCCTCAGTTTGACATCAGTGTTCTCGTGAGTCACTGAGAAAATAGTGACTGTGCCGGAGGCCTTGTGACATGTCTGCAGGCGTCCCCCACCCCCAGCTACCAGCGGTCATTCTGCTCTGGTGGTGGTGGCCAGGGACGAGGAACCCCAAATGCAGACGTGTGCACCCTCTGCCTTGAACACAAACGCACCATTTGGAGGGTGTCAACATCCCGCCCACAGCCCGATACACCAGGAGCACCTGCTCCACCCCAGCAGGACCACCAGCGGGACAGGAGCGCCAAGTCTGCTCTTGGCAACCCTGACAGCTCTCAGCACCCACACAGCACCCAGATGTTTGCCTGGGCCTGGACACTGGAGTTTCTAAACTTACTCTCCTCTTAAGGTCAGTCTCCGAGCACCTCTCCTATTTCCATTAATGCCCAAAGTTTATTCCCAGTGGTTCACGATGTGGCCTCTAAGATGGTTCCCACAGCATGGTGCACACCCCTCGCAAGCTCCTGCCCCAGAGGACAGCTGGACCTACAGACTCACTTCTCCCAAACAGAGTGCAACAAAGACGACGGGATGTCACCTCTGAGATCACGTATCCCTGAAACCCCTCCCCGCCGTCTGGGGGTCCCTCTGCCCACATGGATGCCGCCTTCCCACATAACTTAGAAGGCAAAGGCTGGGAAGGGCGGGCTCCCGCAGCACCTCGGAGCAGCCACTGTCCCTCCTTTCCCTGAGACTGGGCAGCCCGGCGTGGCGTGACACCACTGTCCTGGGGCCAGGACTCCCTGCTAGGAAGCTGGGCAGCTGTGGTCCATCACCTAACGCCTCCAGTTGCTTGTCTGTAACGAGTCATGGGAGGACTCAGCAGCCACAGGCACCGAGCTGCACCCGTGGTGCTGGGGTGCTGATGCACGGAACGTTAAACTGAGGCCTCACCTCCCTCAGTCCAGGGCCCCACCACCTACAGGGGGCTCAAGGGATGTGGGTTGTGCCTGTGGTGTGAGCTTGCACTTCTCATTCAGGGCCCGCTTGGGTCAGAACTCGGCCCCTGGGCAGGGCGCAAAGCACCACGCCCCCAGGACCACAGACGGTCAGCTCTCCCTGGGAGTGCTGGTGCCCACACTGCGAGGGGCCAGAGCTGCCTGGGGGAGAGACTGAGCCCCCCATGGGCAGCAGTACACCTCGACTGTTGCACTGCAGGGAGGGGCCGCAGCGCTTTTAGCTGACCTTGAGATTCTACAGACAGGATCAGGGGAGGAAAGGAGGAGTGCCCCACAGGCTGGGAGCAGCCAAGGCCAGCACCCCTGACCAGGACGGGCCCCGTCTGCTGTGATGCTCTGTCCGTACACAGGCAGCCTTTCGGAGCCACACAGGACCCTGTGCCCTCTATTGCCTGGGTCCTGGTCCTCAGACCCCAGCTTACACTGGGAGGGGGCTGAGTGCAACTCCAGAGTCAGGACCCCGTGCACCCCAAGCTAGCATCCCTGGGGGGGGTGCCACTCACCCCGAAGTCAAAGCAGTTGAAGGAGGACCGGAAGTAGCTTCTGGGCCCCAGGCCATACATCTTCAGGGACATCTCTGTGAGGAAGAGACCCAGGAAAACAAACTCCGCAAAGTCTAGGAGAAGCCGGAGAAGAGGGGGGTCAGCTTGCCACTCCTCCCGCCAGGCCCGGACGGCAGGGCCACAGATCTCCGGGCCTTTGCAGGGCTCAGCCCTCCAGGCCTGGGCTCGACCCCTGAGCTCTGGGCCCCCACCTGGGACTGGGAAGGAAGAGAGATGCCGGTCAGCGTGGACGGTGGGGCATGCCCTGGGCCTGCGGGATGGGGAAACAGGCTCGGCAGGAGGGCTGCGCCCAGGACTGGGCTCAGGAGGGGTTCTGGGGCCACAGGAACCCCGGGGAGGCCCCTGCAGACACTGGACGGCCTTGACCCATGCTTTTGCCTTCAGCGTTGCCCCCTCCCCACACTCGGATCACTGTGGAGACTCCAGCCTCTCCATCAGAACCTGTTCCCATGAGGACATCCCTGACACCCTCCCCAGGGCGCCACAGCTCCATGTTTGGTCTCCACTTGTCGGAGGCTCGCCCCACTAACCGGAGAGCACCTCTGCCCCCTGAGTAACCCCAGGCCCCACCCACACGAGCTCCCAGGAGGCAGCGATGCTCTGTGGGTCACACAGCGGCTTCTGTGGGCACCTTCACCTTCCTGCAGGCCGGGCCCTGGTGGCGGCCACAGGGCCTGCCTTGGCCCAGAAGTCCTGCCACTGGCCATGCTGACCTCCAAGGACCACAGGGCCAGAGGGGGACCACCCTGGAGCCTGGTGTGCTCTTGGAATTCCAGGCACACAGGCACTACCCTACCCAGCCCGAGAGAAGGCAGGGTCAGAGCAAGGAGGGAGAGTCAGTGGAGAAGCTCCACGGGCCACAGACAGCGGAGCACGGCCGGCTCCGCCACCGGCTGACCAGGAATCCCAGACGGCACAAGGCCGTTGTCCCTGACGCTCTTCCAGATGCTGACCTGGAATCAGCTTGTTATCTTGTACAGTAAGTGGGTGAAGGCGCTGTGGCCTCTGACCCGGAACGGCAAGGGCCGGGGATGCAGGCAGCTCAGGGCACAGCCCCCACGGAGGGCCTGTGAGTGTAGGGGAGCCACAGGCAGGCCCCAGTTCAGCCTTCCCAGGGCCACGCCTGACTGGTCTCAAACACCTCCCGATAAAACAGACCGGGGGAGCCACTCGTCCCGTCACCCCCTGCACCCTGCACGTGCTGTCCTCCACATGCGGCTCTGCAAGGCCCCAGGCTGTCAGGGGTAGAGCTACTCGAGTCCAGGCCTTGCAGGAGCAGACACACTAGCCCCAGTGCCCACCGGGCACCATGCTCAGAGACACATGATGGTCTGTGCAGCCCAGAGGGGCCTCTGGGTGGGGGCTGTCCTTCGCTGTCCTGAGTACATGGAAACCTCAAAAGCAAGCCTGACCTCCAACCAGCCACATCCAGCAGGGCGCCCGAGCCAGGTGTGGGTAAGCGATGACCAGGCACAGCAGCCTCCCTGGAGACACTGGAGGCTAAAAGCGGTGTGTGATGCCCACCAACCCAGCCAGGCCCATCGCAGGCCACTGCACAGACCAGTCAGCCGCGGGGCGCGGGACTGCGCCTGCCCCCAGCCCCGCCCGAGAGGCTGCAGCAGCCCCGGAAGACCCATGACTCCCAGCCGAGCCCACAGCCCCTCCACAGAGGTCTTAGGGGTGCCCGCCTTGCACCTGGGCACCCCGCAAATGGAGTTCAGGTCCCAGGAGAGAGGGGAGGTGGGGCTTGCAGCTAAACACCAGACCCGGGAGGTTGTGCCATCCACACACCCCGGCTTCCAGGGACCAAAGGGAAAGGCTTCGAGGAACAGGTGCAGCAGAGCTCGGTGAGGCCCCTTTGGAGCAAGGCGTGCCGACAGGGGCATCCCCCGGCTCTGCACCCCTGCACCCCCTCAGCTGCATCCTCTGCCTCCCTTCCGAGGCCAGCAAAGGGCGCTCATTTATTCTCTCTGGAAGCACAGATTCAGCTGGCACTGCTGGTGCCGCTGTGAGAGGGCCTAGGAGGAGGAGTGGTCCTCCCTCCAGGAGTGCACAGGTGAAGGTGGAGCAGAGGATGCAAGGGGCCTCTGTGCCGTGGGGACAGAAGGACAGACAGGAGGTCCATCTTGTGAGGCCAGTGGCTCACGGCAGATAAGGCCAACAGCCAGCTGTGCGTGGAGCACACAGCCGCTCCCACCCTCCCTCGGCAGCCACACCTGGTCTTGGGGGCCCTGGCATTGTGATGGGGGCAGGTCCTTGACGGCCAGCCAGCCTCAGGCCACTGCCCCACGGGGAGTCCCAAGGAAGCCGGTCCTGGCAAAGACCCCTCTGACCTCTGCCTCCTGCATGGCCGGCTCTCCCTCACCAGACCAGCTGCCCAGGACAGAGCCCCAGGCACTGAGCAGAGGTGTCCAGACCCGGCACCTCTGCTCTCTGTCCAGTCTTTTCCCTGGGTAATGCCTGCATACTCAGGAATTCCCAGGAAACCAGAGAAAAGACAGCAAGGTTGCTGGCCAGGGATACCTATGGGCTGGCCAACGCCTGGGCACTCCCAGGCCTGTGCTCCTGCTGAAGCAACCAGGCCATACAGGTTGCCCCACCCCTACTTAGGTGGCACGTCCCCAAGAGGAAAAGAGTAGCCACAAGATGGACTGGACACCCAGCTTCTTCCGAGGAAGGAACAGCCTGGCCAGAAAGCCCCAGTGAGCAGCTGGCCTGCTGGCTGGGTCTGGAGGAAGCCTGTGCCCTGGGCCCCATCGGCCGCTGGGGGCGGAAACTTACACCTGGGGACTCGCGGGAGGTACGGACAGTCCCAAGCTAAGTCCTGAGACACGAACCCCAGGCTCCAGGACACACCGATTAGGGGCCAGAGTGCGCAGTTCAAGCCCCGACTGTCCCCCACCTGCACTCTCCCCGGGGAGCAGAGCCAGGCCACCTGAGAGAGGCTCCCAGGCCGCTTGGATTTCAGTTGCTCCTTTGGCCTCTCCCATCATGCAAAGTAGATTTCAACGCATTTGGGAAATGAGTCTAGAGTCCCCCCTCCACCCACACTTGGAAGTGATATGTGGAGCCATCAGCCTCTGCGGCTCCCAGGAGCCCTCCAGGAGGTGTCCAGCCTTAGCGTCCAGTGGGGCCTGGTGCGGGGAGGACTGGGGCCAGGACAGATCTTCTCTGGAGGAGGCCTGATCACTCCAGCTGGCTTCAAGCACACAGGGCCCCCACAGGGAGAGCAAGTTCGTGGGGGGTCTGGATCAGCCCCAGGCCCCAGGCAGGGCGAGTGTGGCTGAACCCAGGAGACTGAGCACAGGACATAAATTGTCAATAGCCAGACACAGACCAAGGGCACGCGGAGCCCTAGGGCATGAAGGGCCAGTCCAGGTAGGTCAGCCTTAGTCCCCTAAGGGACAAGGAGCCCAGCCAGCCCAGCGACCTGGAACTGTGGCCAGGGCCCAGTGGCTTGTCCTGAGGCTCACGGGCACAGGACTGCCAGCTGTCCGGTCATGACCCCAACCAGATACGACCAGTCAGAAAGAAAGAAAGAAAAGAGCCCAGGAGGGTCCAGGGGAGCCCTGGGAGCCAGGACTCCTCCTCAGGAGTCCAGGGCAGGAGCTGCGGCCCAGTCCACGGGCCTAACACCCTTTCAGGGTGGGACACGGGTCCATCAGACCTGGCTCGTGCCTCTTCATCCCCAGAACTTCCTCCCCAGGCCCACATTACATGGGGGAGGGTCCACCCAGGCAGGCTGGGCTTCCTGGGACCCAGGTGCATGGGGCCTGGGGTCTGACCGGGCCCATGGGGCACGGTGGCCAGGACAGGGGTCCCACCCAGGGCACTCCAAGGCAAAAGGACATGGATCAGGGTTTCCAGGCTGCAGCCAGAAGGGGCTGGGAGGAGGTGGGGGAGGCCCGGCCGTGGCTACGTACACAGCGCAGTGGTGAGCCGCCGCGGCTGGTTGTGGTGCACCACGGCCACACACAGCGTGTTCAGGGCCACCACACACAGCACTGCCCAGTAGAAGCTCTGTGCCTTCACCACCCGCCGGATGAAGAACCGGAGCATCTTCTCCTTCCTGCGGAAGTAGGATGAGCTCTCCGTCTTCCCGCTCTTGAGGCTGGCACGGGCGAAGGGGGACCCTGGGGGGACAGGAGCTCACTGAGGACATGCAGGGACCAGAGGGCCCCAGGACATTCTCTCCCTCCACTGACATGCGTTCTGTAGACACGCCCCTGAGGACACGTGCCAGACAGGCATTGCCCCCATAAATACACCTCCAAAGACACCTGGCCCAGTTCTGATGATGGGCACATGGGCAGGACCACTGTTGGCCTGTGCTAATCACCCTGCACCCCCTCGGTGGGTCCTGACCCCAACCCCAGTTCACAAGTGAGGGAACCAGGAGCCTTGGTGGGTCTCTGTGGTCACTGGGCTGTGGAGGGAGACCTGGCTGGGACCTGGCACACTGGGACCTTCCACGAGTGCAGCCTTCATGTTCCAGGCCATTCCAACCCCTCCATGTTGCCTGGGAGTCCTGCTACACGTGGCCCACCCTCCCTCTGACTGGGGGACAGCAAACAACGGCTACCTGCTCTCTGGGTGGGAACACAGCCAGGTCCTCGCCTGATCTGTCGGTGGTGGCCTGCCCAGCAGTGCGAAGAGTACAGCCCACAAAGCCTAAACACAGTCCCAGGGGTGGGTGCCGATGCACCCCTCAAGCCCACGGCCTCCTCCAGCCCGGGCACACTCCACCTCACTCCACACCTTGACCTGAGTGTGAAGTGCATCCCATGGCCAGCCTCTCTCCTTGGCTGGCTCCTTCTCAGCTTCACATCTGGGCTTCAGTGTCACCTCCTCCCCACCAAAGCACTGTTCTCTGGGCCCTCTGTCCACAACAGGTCCCTCAGTACCCCCTTGCCCCAGGAATCAGGACCTCACGCCACCTGCAACCATATTGGCCTGTTGACTGTCCCGTGCCCAACTCTCAGACCAGCTCTGTGAGGACAGGCCCTGTGTCCTACCTCCACTGCACCCCTCACGCCATCTGACAAGCGAGGAGCAGTCTTCATGGGCGCTGGGGCTCTGCTGCATCTGCAGCATGTCTGAGCTTGTGGCACAGTTTCTCCTGTTGAGCACAGGGGCCTGGGCATGTGTGTGCCTCTCACCGCTCAAGTCCAGTCAGCTCTGAGCATCTGGACTTGGACATCAGGCCCGAGTTAGGGTGTGGCATATGTGTATTATGTATTTGCACATGTGTGTGTATACCCCCAGACTCTCAGTGGCACCCTAAGTGCTATTGGGCTGGTGCTTTCTGAGGCCTCTGGCAGCTGCGTCAGGCAGGGAGACGCTTCACACACAGCCCCAGTCACGGAAGAAGGGTCCAGAGGACAGCGGCCATCAGCCAGCCCTCCAGAGGACCATGGGGCCCTTATGGCAAGATCCTGGTACTCTGGATGCCACATGCGAGCCACACCCTGAGACCCTGCTCCACAGCTGCCCGGCCAGGGCACATGCTCCCAACCCATTTCCAGGCCCCAGCCACTGCCAACCAGTCAGAACTGGCTCATTGGACAAAACCTCTCCACCGGCTTTGCTGAGGCCTGCAAAGTGCCAAGGACACAGCCAGACACAGCCGCTCGCCCGTCGGAGAGGGCCTGGGGCAGCAGTACAGACAGGAGGGGCCCACACCTTGGTGGTGCCATGCACAGACCCGTCCAGGGAGCCCTCGTGCTCAGAACTCCCGCCACTTCTCACCCAGAAACAGACCCCCTCACACTGCACACGCCCAGACCGTGGCCACGCTCACTGTGAGAAAGCCTCCCACTCTCAGACACACACTCACAGATCCACAGAGCTAGGAACCCACCCAGGCCCCTCTAGGATGGAGGGTAAAGAGAATAAGTGACTCACGCAAGCCGCTCTGTGCACACGTATGGCCAGAGAGACGAACAGCAAATTTCCCAGGGGAGATACCATGGCCGCCACCGCCCGGCTGACTGGACTGTCCCCAGCAAGCCAGCCCTCCATGAGAAAGGCTTCAGGGTGCTGCCCCGCATGCCTCCTGGCCCTCCCCCTGCTCCCCTGTGCCCACAGGCAGACAGCCACGTACCCTCCCTCAGCCTGTAACGCTTCGCTCTAACACGCACTCCGCTCCTGGGGATGACACGGGTGGGCGCCCACGAGGGGCCTCCCTCAGGCCCTGGAGGAGAGCTGGGCATTTCCTTTCGACCAGGGCAGCACAAAGGACAGAAATGCCGGGCTCCACCTGGTCAGGGAACACACACAGCCCAGCCAGCATTCCGCAGGGCATTCCAGACTTGGGACACGCTGGACCTGGGCCTCTGGAGACAGGACACTGGTGCCTGCAGACAGCCTCCCAGCAAGCAGCTGCCTGTGCCCGTGTGGCCTCTGGACAGCGACTCAGCCCAGTGCTGGCCAGAGCTGGGGAGTCCACAGCAAATGCGAAATGCATCCCACCCAGAATTATATCTTTGGTGGGACCGTGGGAGAGGGGACCAGCTCTTCTCAGCTTTCTGCATTTACCAGGCTTAACTTAATCAGCATATTCTCTGTAATAAAAGGGCTTATGTTGAGAAAAACATACGGTGTCTTCAAGCTAGGGGGAAGTCAATTAAACTAACCTGTGAAGGATAACAGACTTTAGTAATGCTGAGAGGAAGTAAGCCTGCTTAACACGTGCTCCTGCGACAAGCCTGCTCACGTCGTGCTGGGCCCTGAGCTGCCCAGACAGCACAGGAGCACAGCGCTGCCCCTGCCCTCAGCGACCCCACCAGCGGCTGGTGGGCGTGCAGGCAAGCAGCGTGCACTCCCTTCCACCTTAGCTGCTGTGCCCGCCAGCGCCAGGTCCCAGAGGGAAGCTGTGTTAAACAGCAAGTCCCTGCCCTGGCATGCGACCTTGCCCGTGTCACGTGGAGAGCTCTCACTTGAAAACAGGTGATGAGCAACCTGCGCCTCACGGGACCGTGCAGGCAAAGCAAGGCGATGCAGCACCTGGCACATTAGGGCTCAGCCAGCCACTTGAACAAATGACAGAGGACAGAAGGACTTCGTGGGAGATGTGCAAGCCCCGTGCCTGGGCACAGTCACCCTTGGCACGGGTAGAGGACAGCACGGGGGACCCAGCAAGTGCTGGGCACGTGGAAACCCAAGCCCGGCTTCCTTCCCTCCTTCCAAGCCCTGCAGCCCAAGCCGTCCTGAGCCAACAACTGCTCATCAGTCCCTGGGCTCTGCCAGGGACCCAGGGGGCAGAGCCACAGAGTCCCAGGGACACAGGCACAGCCCCAAACCATTCAGCAAATGAAAGTAAGGACTGAAAATCCAGAGGAAGAGCCTAGAAGCTGAACCACAGCAACGCTTAAATGCAGGGGGTGCAGCGCAAGGAGGAAGGTATCCAGATGGAGAGGAGGGGGACAGAGGGGCAGAGTCCGGGGCGTGACAGGGGTCCCCCGGAGGCAGAGGGCGCCCCCTCTGCAGCAGGGACTGGAGCACAGCAGGGGGCGGGGCCACCGCGGGAGCCCGGGCGGGACCCGGGAGGTCAGTCTCCTGCCCGCGCCCGTCGTGGGGAGCAACCAGAAGACAGACCCGGGAAGCAGTGGAGGAGCCGGCCTGCGGTGGGCCGTGGGCAGAGAGAACCTGAGCTCTGTTCTGCCGAGGGAGGGTCTCAACCCGGGGCAACCTCAGGGGCTGGAACGAAATAAACAACAACAGCCTGGAGCTAAAACGACCAACAGTCTCAAACCAGGAGTGGAGAAAACAGCACACAGGTCTCATCTTGCTGGGCTGGGAGTGGGGCAGAGTAGCGGGAAACAGAGCAGTCTAGTTATGGAGGCAATGCGTCTTCTTGGTGGTAAAGATGGTAGGGAAAACGCTAATACAGTAAGGAAGTGTGTTTCTAATTATAAGCACGGGGAAGGGCGAGTAGCCATTTGTGGAACAGAAAAGTAATGATCAAAAAGTCACAACGGGAGAGGGGACGACAGGCCGCAGAGCAGAGACAGCAGCGACGACGCATCGACAAGCAGGAAGGCTAAGGAGCCCAGCCTGGGGCTTCCACGCCACACTGAACAGACACATCTGCTCAGAAGGAGAGACCACAGGCTGGGTTAACATTTTTTTAAAAAGCAAACTCAGCTAAATACTGTTTACTAGGACATTTAAAATGCATAGAATGATACAGGAGCTGAAGACGAAAGGGGGAACACAGACAACAGGCACCAACCTCAAAGCGACACAGCACTGGCAAGGCAGGTGGAGGGCGTGGCGGTTAGCGCAGGGACTGCCAGAAACACGGTGTGTATGATGCTGAAAAGCCCGGTTTATAAAGAAGCCAGAACCACCAGAATGCTGTACTTGCCAAAATACACTGTGGCTAAATACACAAACAACAGCCTTTAGAAACAGAAGTTTCCTTGTGGAAATGCACATAAAAATCCAGGAGCTTTACCTTCTCACACCTGTCAGGGGGGCTGTTTCCACAAAAACAAAGGCCACGAGTGTTGGCAGGGATGTGGAGGAATCGGAACCCCTGGCGCTGCTGGTGGGAAGGGAAAAGGGTGCAGCCAGGCGTTGCTCAAAAATTAAAAATGAGACTACCATGTGAGCCAGCAATCCCACTTGTGGGCACACATCCAAAGGAAATGAGAGCAGGATCTCGAATCAGCATCTGCTTCCCTGCGCTCGCTGCAGCGTGATTCCCCACAGGTAAGACATGGGAACAACCTAAGTGTCCATCAACACATGAACAGGAAAGAACACGTGGTCCACCCATACGTGGGACACTACTCAGCCTTAAAGAAGAAGGGAAGTCTGCAATATGCAGTAACAGGGACACTCCTTGGGAACAGTATGCTCGGTGCAATGAGCCAGCCTCACAGGGCCCGCCACTGACACGATGTAGCGACCGTCGTGAGATCCACCAGCTCTAACACTGGGATGGTGGTCACCAGGGCCAGGGGAGGGGCATGGGGACTTGCCAACAAACAGACGTGCAGCTGCAATTCCGTAAGATGCACAAGCTCTGCCGAGCTGCCCCCACTGCGCCTATGGCCAATGTCATCGTGCGATGAAATTTCAGGAAGGCGGACCGCACAGCAAGTGCTCTTGCAGTGAGGTTTTGAAAAAGGAAATTCAAGAGAAACGTCAGAAGCGTAAAATGAAGGGGGAGCGTTCACAGCACCCCCCTCAGAACTGCACCGACACAGTGGATGAAAAACAAGGCTGTAACCAACAGACTTGACTTTAACAGGTATACACGCGGCCCGATGACTCCTCAAAACAGGCCCTACGCTTTTCCGCTCATGTTAATGAAACTTTTTTAATGAGTCACAGCATAGATTTTGAAGACTTTTATGTGTAGAGATTTACTGGCCACATTTTTCATTTATCAATAAAATTAGGAGGAAAAAAAAAAGATGATCAACTACCAAAACTACTTATAAATTAAGAAGCAGACACCTAGATAACCTTTGGCTCTAAGAGAAAAGTGAATAAATTATTCTCTGAACCCAGAAAGGAGGAGCCATAGCAAAGCCTCAAACGGAGCGAAACAGACCCAAACATCTTCGTTAATGAAGAGAAAAAGGGACAAGTTACCTGCTTTAAGAAATTAGAAAAGAATAAAACAAATCAAAATAAAGTATAAAGACACTTAATAAAGATGAAAGATAGAAGTAATGATTGAAAAGAAAACTGGAAGAAATCTAGAATCTGCTTATTTTAAATGATGATTAGTACATATTAACCCTACATAATCCAAACCAAGAAAACACACAGAGAGCAAAGCTCAACACACCAGCAACAGAAAAAGGCAAAGCAGAGTCAGCCGGGCCGAGCTGCCCCCGGTCAGCACACCTTCCCGGGTGACGAGCCCCATCTGCCCAACCTGACCACCAGGCCACGCCAGGCGCTCCTCGCCAGCCCCGCCAGGCCTCCCATGGGCTGTCCTCATTGTGTCTCACGCCCATGCCCAGTTGATCAGCGAATCCTGAGGGCTTGTCTTTAAGACATATGCAGACACCAGCCACTTTCCGGGCCCGTGGCCACCATCTGTGGGATTTTCACAGTGGCCTCCAGACAGTTGCCCTTACGCCCCTCCTGTGCTTGCCTCACTCCTCGGCCAGGCAGCCGGGGCCAGAGGACGTCTCCCTGTACAAACCCCTCCGGCTGTCAGGTCCTTGCTGGTTCCTCGCCCACCAACCAGATCTCCACTCTTACTGCTGCCCCCGGCCACACAGGCCACACTGGCCCCTTTGACACTCCCCACATATGCCAGGCACCTTCCTGCCTCAGGGTCTTCCCACTTGTCTGGAATGTTCTCTTCCCCAGGGTCCCTTCAGCTCTTTACTCAAAGGCCACCTTTCCCCAAGGCCTCCTACGGCTGCTCTATTTAAACTGCCAGCACTCCAGGGCCTCCGAGAGTTACTGGCACATGACTGACACTTAGTAAATATCTGTTGAGTCAATAAACAAACAAATGACCAAACACAGGAGAGATTAAACGAGCTATGAGAGGCCACGACACAAAGCTCTATAGAAACGAGTTTGGAAAGCCAAGAAAATGGAAGATTTCCTAATATTAAAGTACAACTTATAAAACTGGCCCAAGTTCTTTTTCTTTCTTACCTCTAGATGGGTTTACACATTTACTTCACCTTTGAAGAACAGGTAATTTAGGTGTTACTTAAATTATTCCAAGCCATAGAAAAAGTTTTTTTTTTTAAGTCTCCGATTCATTTCACAAAATCAGAACAAAGACTCTAGGTAAAATAGGAAGAGAGGGAAGTAGTTAAATGTAACACCTGATAAATTTTTAAAAACTAATGAAATTCAGGTCTATAACATACATCAGTCTCTTACTAATTAGCCAACACAAACAACCCAATAGAAAAATGGACACGATATATGAAGAGTCACCAAAATCCAAATTCAAGTGGGAAAGAAACACATAAATTAAAATCACTAGTAGTGAGTGAAACAGGAATTACAGTCCCCACGAAGGGCCCCTTTAGAATCACCAAACTGGCCTTAACCTGGCGGACGTCGCTGCAGGTTCCAGGGGTGAGGCCGGCTGTGCTCCTGTGCTGCCCGGGAGGTGCGGGCCCTGCCCCAGCCCTGCTCCAGGAACCTACCCACAGAGGAAGCTAAGGAAGGACAGGTGTGCACAGCAGGGTTTTTTTACAGCACTTTCCATGGTGGAAAGAAAAAAACAACCTAAAAGCAAATGGCCATCAATGGGGAACAGCTGAAAAGAATCAGTAAGTCCACACCATGCCACACCATCTCCGTTTCCCTGGAGGACTGGACCTGGGCTGCTGGTGGGGAGAGGTTTCCACAAGGTACTGATGAGAAAAGTTTGTATGACATCGTTTCTGACATACAAAGACCCCACAGCTCTACACACACGTGTGTCTATATGCATGTGCATGTTCTGAGGCAAACATGGAGAAACAGGTGGGTAAAGTCTAAGGTACCAACATGGGTTTGCTGGGCCTGAGTGGGGACAAAAAAGGGGAAAGCACAAAAGGATGGATACAGACAGACAGACAGGTGATAGCTGACAGACAGAGGGGGACACACTAATAACCTTTATTCAACGTCCTGTCTCATAAATGGAGTGACAGGACGGGAGCAGCTCTGACGGAGGCCTGCTCGTGGACTGCCAGAGAGCGAGGCAGTCAGGGCTGGGTCTGGCCTGGCACCAGCCCCTGCCCATATGGCTGCAGGGGAGGCCAGGGCTGGTCCCAGGAACAGGGCATTTGGTGGGAACAGGCCAGGTACTTGAGGACCACCCTGAGAGGAAGGAGCTGCACCGGCTCTGTATGATCAACGGACTAGAATTTTCCTTTGACCGTCTGAGAAGCAGGAAGTGTGGCTGAGGGCTCAAGAAAGTGGAAGACAGGGGCTTGGGACAGAGACGGCCAGAACTTTCCTGTCTCCAGTCTCCAGCCCTGGGACCAACCCGAGGTTCTACATCCACTTGGGTGAGGGCAGCCAGCAGCCAGCAGCCAGCGAAGCATGTGGAGTGAATGAGCTCAAAGGGGTGTAATGAACCCCAGGCAGCGTGCACACAGCCTGGCACACGCCTGGCCCCCAGACGGCAGCTAAGCCATACCAGAGGGCACTGGACTTCCTGCCACTGAGTGGCCAGGACCAGCCTCCCTGGGTGGGGTGGGTAGTGGGGAAGCAGGGTGGCCCCAGAGGGCGGAGGCCTGGGGGATAGGAGGAAGCTGGGGGCATGCCAACCCCGTGCCGGGGGAAGCCGGGGGCTCACCGACAGCACTGAGCTCTGCAAACCGGTCCTCTCCCTCCTCCGCGTGGATCAGGTCACTGCGGCTCTTCTTGGTGGCTGCCCGCTTCAACACTGCTTTAAACAAGGCAGAAGGGACCGCATGAGCCAGCCCTCAGCCGGCCTGCCCACCCTGCAGCAGAGGGTGGGATCACCTGCCCTGGAACTGGAGGCCTCTCCTGAAGCCGACGCTGAGAGGCAGGGCGATCCTGGGCCCCATGGACCCCTTCCCCGCCTCAAGCAGGACAAGGAACTTTGAGGGTAAGTCCCACTTTCACCTCTCTCCACTGAGATGTCAGTGGGGAGGGCCCACCTGCCAGGGGACCCGGAAACACCCATATGGGGCAGGGCCAGGGCTGCAGCCAGCCGCCCGAGCAGCCCATGCTCGGAGCCGGGGCCAGAGAGATCAGGGCAGGGGTGTTGGGGGAGCCAGCACAGATCTGCTCAGAGCCCTGGCACAGGCCCAGCTGAGACACGGCAGACACAGCCCTGCTATCTGGCCCCGTCCTGAGCACTGGGGGTGGAGAATGGGCAGCCTTCCTGCCACAAGGGCTTGCTGGAGGCCCTGCCTTTGGCTGCAGCTATGCTGGCCCTCACCCTGTCCCAGCACCCCCAGGTTGAGCGAGGAGCCCTTCCATGGCGATCTGTGCCTTGGCAACAGATACGGTTTGGTTGAGACCCACATTCTTAAAGCTTCCAGAAACCAGAAGCCACACTGTCCACACGGACTGTACAGCGATGACAATGTCCTACATCCGCACCAGGCAACGTGGAAGCCACCCCTCCAGGTGGCTCTGGAGACCTCGAGACGCGGCGACTGAGACAGATAAGCCGATTTTCACTCATATCCCATTAATGTCCTTGCGTGTTCTCGCCGCTCCACATGCCCTCCGGGCCAGTCTGAGGCCCCAGAGGCACGGCTGTGCTGGGTGAGCCCACTGCCAGCTCAGCCCTGGCCTTCGGCGTGCAGCTCGCCAGGAGCACGCCGGGAGGGCCTCGTCCAGGTGGACCTCTGTCCCGGCCCGGTGTCAATGTGAGGACGCGCAGCGCCCAGCTCAGCGGGACGCAAGACGCATCCACGTGCAAGCGTGCACACACTAGGTTGCCACTGGGCCGCCAGGGTGCTCTGGCTGGGTGAGGAGCACCGACGACAGCCACCTACCATCCAGAGGGGACTTCTCCTCAGCATTCTTGTCCTCCTCGGCCAGCATGACTTCCTCTGCGGGTGAGACAGAGCTCAGACGGGAGCTGCCCGTCCCCAGCCCTGACCAGCCCCCACACGTCTGGAAGCCTGCGGGGCCCACGGCGGAGCAATTTCTGCCAAGACAGACCCTCCGTGTCCCACACACAGTGCCCGAGGGAAGGGCCTGCCTGTCCCTCCCACAATTGCCCGCCCGGGTGCAGCCACGAGTGAGTTTGTCACCAAGAATCACTGGTTCCCCACGGAGGAGAGAGAGCTGGCCAGTGCTGGGGAGGGGAGTCGGAACCGCCAGGCCCTAAAGGGCCCTGGGTGAGGGCCCCCAGGCTGGGCCACGCCAGGCCCTCCGTGGAAAAGGCCAGCGTCCAGGGCCGCCTGTGCCCAGAGCCTGGGTGAAGCGGCCCTGCTGCGCAGCGTCTGCATCCTGCTCTCCTCCCCCAGACCGGCCTCGCCCACCGGGCGGGAACCGGCCGGCAGTCAGACGCACTCGGCAGGGCCCTGACGAGGGGCAGGCTGGGAGCCGCCAGCCCTCACCCGCCTTGAAGATCCACTCCAGGTAGCCGTTGAGCTCCCGCTCGATCTGCTGCTGCCGACGGAGCTTCAGGAAGGCCCGGCGGTTCTCCACCCGCTCGCGCTCCTTGGCGAACTCTCTGCAAGGTCGGTGCCAGAGGGCCAAGCAGTTCGCGTGAGTCGAGGGCCCCAGGGGCACAGGGATCCAGGGAGAGGCAGGGCAGGGGGGCCCTCATGCTGGCCTCTTCTGACCTGAGAACCCAGAGGCCGGGACCTCCCCCCCAACCCCTAGAGCACAGGGAGTGCCCCTCAGTCCCCAGACACGGGGCTCCGGAGGGCGGGCCCACTTCCACGTCCCCCTGCCCAGGGCCAGCCTGAGCACACACCCTCGGGGGCCAGGCCAGGCCATCCACTCCCCAAGAGTGGGTGAGGGGCATCGTCTGCCTGCCGAGCCTTCCCACCCCTCCCAGGGCCGTGTACGGGCCGTCCAGGCCTGCCCCCTGTAGTAGGTGGGACGATCTGCCTGCCGGTCCAAGCCACCAGCAGAAACTTCCTGCAATGGCCCAGGCCTGCTGCAGTGCAGCCACCCACAGCAGTGGGCTGACCCCAGCTTTAGTGGCCCTGACCACCTCTAAGCCTCCCCAAGGCTGGAAGACAACCTTGGGGGGCCCCTGCTGGGGCTCAGCTGGGGCTAATTAGGGAATCAGCCCTTATAGCCCAGCCCAGACACCAGGACGCTTACAGGAGGGAACAGAGCTGACAAGACAGAATTCTGTCCCCAGTCATCAAGGGGCCACACAGCCCACCTCCCGGCCTTCCCCTCCCCGTCCCAGGCCTTTCTGCACGCTCCCAGGGGAGCCGCACAAAGCCGGGCCACAGTCCTCAGCACAGAGCCCAGGCTCCCCCAAGCCTGGCTGCCTGCCAGCCCCACCAGACCTCTGGGCTCCAGCTCTGGGCACCCCTGCGGCCAGGCACCACATCCCCTTCTGGGCGTCACCCCAGCTCTTCTCTGTCTGAAGGCCCTCCTCCCTCCTCTCCCCTTTGCCAAGCTCACCCCCAGGCCCCCTTTGGGTCTCAGCGGACGTGCCCTGTCTCCAGGGGCCTTCCTCTGAGCCTCAGGCCTCCCCGGTTTCCCCAGCCCAGCTCAAACTGAGCAATCTCCCACCAGTCTGGGAGTTCCGCAGGTGTCGCCGGGGGCTTGTCTCGTCCCTGGGAAAAGCTTGGAAAGATGTGCAGGAACATCACACCCTTCCAGGAGAGGACGTACCCCAGAACCTGACCCCCCACTCTCCTCTGAGGCTGCTCTTTTCCAGGCCGATCTGACAGCAGCCCCTTGGGCCCACCAGGCCCTCCTGCCAGTCTGCCTCGGGAGCCCTGGGCCTGAGCAGGAATCCTCAGGATGGTACAATACTGACATTCTCCTCCAATATAGACATCTCAAGGGGCCACACAGCCCACCTCCCGGCCTTCCCCCTCCACCTCTCAGGCCTTTCTGCACATTCCCAGGGGAGCCACACAAGGTCGGGGAGGAGGACAGGCCCAGTGCCCTCCACCGCCCTCCCAGCACAGCTTCGCCAGCCCCAGTTGTGCCCCTAGACACATGGTACTGCCTCAGCCCCCAGCCCCATGCAGGGCAGGAGTACTGTGTGCCCACTGTGCAGGATCAGGAAGCACCTCCCTCCGGGAGGGACACCCAGCCCTGTGCCTTCCCTTCCTCTCCTGGCAGAGCTCAGCAAAAAAGGCTTTTTTTTTTTTGGAAAGGAGAGGCAGCCAGGGCTCAGGTGGGGGCACAGAGCTGGGTGACCACGGCAGCTGGGACACAGGGCCACCCGGTTCTCTCTCCATGGTGGCAACAGAGGGCTCAGAAACCCCACCATAGACTCAGGGGCGATTCAGCGGCAGCCCCTCTCACACAGAGACCAGGGTAAAGTCCAAGAGTGGGATAGTGGCAAGGAGGCCAGGGCCAGTGGACAGTCAAGGGAGAGGTCAGGATGACAGCACGAAGCAGAGGCTGGCCTTTCCCAGGATGCTGGGAATGGCTGCATGGAAGGGGGCCCTGGGGCCAGGCAGGCCCACCCCCAGTATGCACGCCCAGGCCTGGCTGTGTGCCGTGAGAATGCAGCAGGCAGCACCCGAGCCTCTTACCCCGAGAGCACGCCCAGCACCAGGTTGAGCATGAAAAAGGAGCCGATGATGATGAGAGGAATGAAGTAGAGCCAATTCCAGGTATTACCGGCTGCATCGTTTGTCTGGAAGCAAAAAACACGACAGGGCGGTGGGCAAGACACACAGGTCTGGCTATGGAGGTGCCCTGACCCCTCCTCAGACACCTACCAGGGCCCAGGCAAGGGGCAGTGGTCCAGTGAGGACCATGGTCAGGCCTGCCTGACCTGCCCCAAACAGCTCTCTCTGCGGCTGTGGCTCCCAGAAGACCAGCCAAGGACACTCAACCATCCAGGCCACTGCCCAGCAATGCTAACCAGCTGTGAGGTAGCCCAGGGAGCTCACGACTGCTCAAGGTTCCTGGAAACTGGGGGCCTAGTCCCGGCCCAGACTCTGCCCCACCCTTCCCAGGCTGCTGGACATGAAGCAGCTGCACAGACACGTCTCCTGTGTGCAGCCCACAGGCCCACGTCTGCTCCTCTGCCTGCATCTCAGAGGCGACAGCCCCGTGCCATGTTTCTCCCAGACCAATAGCAAGCCCACAAGCTTCCAGGGAACTGTTCTCACCACTGCCTGGCTCTTGACAGAATCCAGCACTCAGGCATGGTCTAAACAACTGATTGCAAGAAGGGCCACCTCCCTCAGACCTTCTGATTTCTACAGCACGGCCCACAAAAGGGTGAGTTCCTCTGACTCCAATTAATTTCCAGCAGTTTTCTGTTTGTGGGTCCCCAGCAGACTTGGCTGAAAGAAGCAGAGAACCTCTTCATCACCCAAGTCTAGTGCCAGAAGCAACCCAAGAGGGAGCGCGTGCTGTGGGTGGGCCGCCACTTGGCCCCTTTATCCCTCTCTTCCAAGGCAGCACACCAGTGAGGGGACAGCGTGCTGGGCGGGACAGAGGCAGGGGGACAGCCTGGCTCTGCCCTGTGGCTGCGACCGACCTCCAGGCGCTACTGTTGGGACTCCTGCCCCCCCAGTGTCTGAGGGCCAAGGCAGGATTTGCAGGCTCGACCCCTGGAAGTCCTGGAGCCCCCACACTGACTGCAGACTAGCTGCCAAGATCCCTGATCCAAAACAGACATTCAAACTCCACCTGTCCATGTTCCCTGATCACAGCTCCACAATCCTGACCTGCTCGCCTCCTTGGAGGACACCCCAAAAACCTGCACCTTCCCGGGAAAGGGAGGTGTCGCTGTGACAAGCTCAGCACCCCTAGCTACTCAAGGACGTGGCTCCTGCAGCTTCCCCTCTAGTGAAGATTCCCGTCAGCAGCCAAGCCTCTCTCATTGTAAAACACAAAACAAAACGAACACGTCTCCCACTTCTGGGAGGACGGAGTGGACACTGCTGGCACTGCTTGTCCCACTAAAGGTGCCCCGACACTGAGCGCCACATGGGGAGCAGGTCAAGGAGACTGAAAGGTGGAGAGAAGAAAGCGACCTGGCTGGCACCTGGACTCGCGGTGAGGCCCTTGCTCGTTCTGGTTTGTTTTGTCCCGCAGATCCCAGAACTGGAGCTGAAGAAGCTGCGACCTGGAAATGCCACTAGGCACTGAAGAAAAATGCACCAGCAAAGCCAGCCCTCTCTCTGTCCCAAGGGCCAGGGGAGGGGCGGCCCAGCAAGACATACTCTCAGACAGTGACTGTCCTGCTCCAGCCAGCACAACGGGGAGGCTACGGTGCCATGCCCATCCCTGCCAGCAAGACCCCACCGCCACCCACTGAGGTGCTGTCGGGCAGCCTAATGGGGAGTCAGGAGTTTCATCCCCACGCAGCAATGAGGGCACTGCACACACCCACCACGTGGCATGCAGAGACCACGTGGAGCACAGGAGCAAGGCATGCCGGACTCTCCCACCCAGGGGGGTCAGCCCGGGGGCGTACTAGGAGCCAGAGCGACCTCCCCGGCCTGGCAGTAAGGAGAAGCCCCTACAGTGTGTCGACAGAGGCCAAGTAGGGAAACTAGCCTTGGGCTCCCACCGTGCAGTGAGGAGGCGGCAGCCCTGCCCAGGCGGAACAGTCAGAGGAAGCCAGCTAAGACAGAAGGTTTAGAGAATCAGGGTCTCATGATGGAACACCAGAAACGTGCAGTTTTCCAGAAGCTCATTTACCACACCAAGAACCAGGAAGAACACAAACCAAATGAAGACGACAATCAACACACGCTGTGCTGGTTACTTTTATGTGTCGACCTGACTGGGACGTGGGGCACCCAGATATTTAGTCAGATGTTATTCTGGGTGCCTCCGTGAGGGTGTTCTGGATGAGAGTAAGATTCAATTGGTAGGGGAAAGCAGACGGCTCTCCATGACGCGGTGGGCCTCATCCAATCATCTGAAGGCCTGATGACCCTGCCAGCAACCCTCCTCAACATAAGAGGAAGTCCTCCTGTAGATAGACCGCAGCCGGGCTCATCTGCACGATTGTCTCCACTGGGTCCCCGTCTGCTGCCTTTCAGGCTAGAAACTGCACATCAGCTCTGCTGGGCCTTGGGCCTGCCACATGCGCCAGCGTATATACCATTTTCATCAATGAAGTATAGTGTCAGCTGCAAGTTCTGTGTTTTTGTTTTCTGAGGATGCTATTTATCAAATTGAGGCAATTCCCCTATTCCTGCTTTTCTGAGTTTTATCATGAATGGGTATTGGATTTTATAAAATACTTTTTCTGCATTTATTGATAAGATATTGTGATTTTTTTCTTTATCCTATTAATATGGTAGATTACACTGAGTTATGAATGTTGAATCAGCCTTGCATTCCTGGAATAAACACCACATGGTTATGTTATATAATATATAGAGGCGCATGCACACACACACACACACACACACACACACACACACACACACCCTACTGGTTCTGATATTGATGACACAGACTGATACAGTATTGCCAACAAACTGATCGGACTGCCTGACACACAGATCGCCAACACTGAGATAACAGAAGTATCTGAGAAAGATTTTAAAACAGCCCTGATAAAAAATGCTCCAAAGAGAAATTATGTACACACTTGAAACACATGAAAAGATAGAAAATCTCAGGAAAGAAACAGTATCAACAAACAAACAAAAGGTGAAGAACCAAATGGAAAGCTGAGAACTAAAAAACTACAGTAATCAAATTAAACATCTCAGTGGAAAAAACACAACAACAGAATGGAGGCACAGAGAAAACAATCAGTGAACAGTAAAAGAGAACAAGAGAAATTACCCCATCCGAAAAACGGTGAGATAAGGCTTAAAAAAAAAAAAGACAGGAAAAATCCAGAGCAGTCTCAAGAGCCCGTGGGACTATAACAAAAATCTAATAACGTTCATGGCAACAGACTAACAGAGTACAGGAAAAAGAGGAGAAAGCTAAGAAGTGCTCAAAGAAATAATGGATGAAAATTTCCCAAATTTGGAAGAGATATAAATCTACATACTCAAGAAACTAAGAGATACCAAGTAGCATAAACCCAAAGAAATCCACAAAAAATATCAGAGTCAAACTTAGGAAAACTAAAAATAAATCTAAAAATTTCAAAGTGGCAAGAGATAAATGATACCTGACTTACAGGGAGGATACCTTACTTATCAGGTGCTATAAGAAAAGAACCGTGTACCCAGACACCTGCATCCATCAATCCTTCAGGAATGAAGGGGAAATCAAGACAATCTCATCGTAAAAACTAGAGAAATTAGGAGAATTTGTCACCAGGAAATCTATCCTAAGATAATGGCTGATGAAATTTCTCTAAACAGAAAGGAAATGATGAAAAAAGGAATTGTTGACCATAAGGAAGGAGGAAAGAATGAAAGACTAAAAATAGGGGCAAATAGACTTTTTTGTCCTTTTGAGTTTTCTAAATCATGTCTGACGGTGAAGGCAAAACTGTAACACACTCTGATGTGGTTCTGAACATGTGCAGAGGAAGTGCTTGCGATGACTGCATTACAAACGGGGGAGGGCAGAGAGGTGTGAAAGGGTCACATGACCCACTGGACCTGCTAGATGATGACGCCAGTAGATTGAAATAAGTTTTACCAATGTCTTTTTAAAGTTGGTTCTTTGAAAAAAATCAGTTCAATTAACATATCCCTAGCAATACAGACCGAGAGAAAATGAGAGACGACACAAACTAGCAATATTAGGAATGAAACAAGGCCTCTCGCTACAGGCCCAGCAAACTTCAAAAGGTTAGTGAGGGGCTACTACACGGGACTCGACAAACATCTGACGACATGGACCGATTTCTCAAAAAACACCAACTACCACAATACACCCAATATAAAACAGATGAATTTAATAGTACTATAATTACTAAGAGAAGGGAAATTATAACTTTAACACTCCCCCCCGCCAAAAAAGGGATAGACATATTTATCAATGGAATAGAATTGATATGATCTAGAAATAACCCCCTATACTTATGATCGGTTGATTTTTAGACAAGGGCACCAAGACAATTCAACGGGGAGAGAGCAGTTTCCAACAGATGGTGCTGGGGCAATCTGATACCCATGAAAGAATAACGCTGGACCCCTACGTCATACTATACACAAAAACTAAACCGAAACGGGTCACAGACCAAAATACAAGAGCAAAAACTAGAAAAGAAGAAAACACAGGAGCAAATCTTCGCGGCTTTGGATCAGGTAATGGGGTCTTAGACACAAAATATGTCTAGCACAAGTGGTGAAAAGGAAAATAGAAAAACTGGACTTCAAAATAAACATTTGTACTTCAAGTGACACCATCAAGAAAGTGAAAAGACAACCCATAAAATGAGAGAAAATATTTGCAAATCATATATCTGATAGGGTTCTAGTATCCACGCTATATAAAGAAATCTTACTGGGCAATAGTAAAATGACAATCCAATTTTAAAATGGGCGAGGGATCTGAAGACACATTTCTCCAAAGACATATAAATGGTGTAACGAGCACAAAGAAAATGCTCAACATCACAAGTCACTAGGGAAATCCAAATCAAAGCCAAAATGAAATACCACTTCACTTCATGGTTGGTTGGTTACAATTAAAATTAATAATTTTAATTTAATTTTACTAGGATGGTCAAAATTCAAAAGACAGACAATA